CGGCGAAGTTCGCCGCGCCTGCGCAGTAGGAAAGCGTGATGTCACCGCCGGAGCGCCGTGTGAAAAAGGAAGACGTGGTGCGCTGCATGTAGGAATGCTTTCGCATTCCTACACGTAAGTAGTCTTAAGTGTCTCTGCCGAGTTTTTTTAAGCCACTTGCGACGGCGTAGGATTGTATGCCCAGCTGCGGAGCAGGTCCTGAGCCCTTGAAAGAGGCTTCAAAAGTCGTCTCGTCTGAGCCGGTCCTGCTCGGCTGCAAGTGTGTGAACGAGTCTTTATGGCCGAATCCGCCGATTTCGGCGGAGCAGCTTTTGTTGGGATTTCGAGGCAGATATGGAAGCGGTGCTGCTTCAGAACGACGAATGGAAGTCGTACGTCGTACTGAGATGCATTTGCTCTGACGGGGAAACATCCGGGATACGGATGTTTCCCCGTCAGAGCGTAGGATGATGGGTATGGGTCATATATTTTATATTTATGTAAAGAACTATCTATGAAACTTGAAAGCCTTGGGAGGAGCAATGAGCTACATTTTAACGTTTTAGCTCATTTTTGTTCCGGAGATATAAAATTTCAATGCTCGAGGCGTGGATATTGCCAAGGTTTTACTAAGCTACTTTGTACAGTCGTCGATTTCACACCGAGGCACTTACGGAGTGATAATTTTTTCTACTTATTTTATGAAAAGGTTACACCATATAGACAAAATATAAAAAAATACAATAGAACATTTATATACAAAAAGAAAAGCTATGAAACACGTCAAGTATCCACGTTTTAGAGACGCGTTCACAAATTGTTTACTAACGATCTACTTTATGTAAAATAACGCAAGTCGTATCGCCATGAGTATCTTTAGGTCAGTTTTAAGCATATATAAAAATTATATGCTTTGCCATTCTTTTAGTTATTAATGCACAAATGCAGAGGATTTCCCTGAATGTTGCAAAATTGCACGTCAATATATGAAAAAAAACTCCATCTTTTATTTTTTTCTCTCTTTAATTATTTGCATTGTCTTGAACTGACTTTTGATTGGAAAACATCGAGTGACCTATTACCTCCAAAAGGAAAGAACTACAACGCACGAACACCGCATATCTTGCTAACGACAGCCGAGATAAGCTCCTTGTGAAGACTCCTCAGAGATGGACTTCCTGTGGGCGTGGGTGGACGGTGTTTCAATCCAGACGCATCCACGCTCGAAACTTCAAACGCTGTGAGTCGGCGTAGGGGTATGGCCCTAAAACAACGCGGAAATCTGTCCAAAGCCCTATTTCTCAGATTCCCCAAGCAGTGACGAACAGTAGCTTCGTTCTATTTGCCTGCACTTCCTGCACCTGTGCAGAAAAGTGTTGGGCGGTGTACTTCCGGTCATATTTCAATACACATAACGAATGCACGCCGCCCTACATTTTTCTGCACCGGTGCAGGTAAATCGAACGAAGCTAGTGTGTGTAGTGAGAGAGTGCAGGCGAGCTGGTAATCAATCGTCATCTTGTGTTGTGTCATGTGTGTTGACGAGAGCATAGAGGCGCTACTGATGAGGACTCTTCAGAGAGGGCTTCCCTTGGGCGGGAGTGGATGGTGTTTTAATCCAGACGCATCCCCGCTCGGAACCTCAAACGCTGTTGGTCGGCATATGGGTTTGTTCCTAAAACAACGCGGAAATCTGTCGGAGCCCGTATTTCTCAGATTCTTCAAGCAGCAACGAACACTGCGTGTGTTAACGAGAGCACAGATACGCTAGTTAAAAAAGTCAAATTGGGGGTTTTACGTGCCAACCCAACGACGGGCATCTGGCACGTCCCAGTGGAGGACTGAGGGTTAATTTGGACCACCTGGGGATCTTTTGACGTGCAACCGAAAGCTCGGTTACACGGCGCCTTCTCCGCAATTCAAGGGAACCGATCATCCGCCTGCGGGTGATCGTAGTTCGAATGAAAAGGGCAGACGATTCTGCAGAAGGTCGAGATCGCCGAGCACGAATGAGACGGCAATTTCTACGCGTTTCCTTCCCTTTTTCCAAGCAGCCATCTCATTCGTGCTCGGCGATCTTGACTTCTGCAGAATCATCTCCCAGTTTCATTCGAACTACGCTCTGCAGGCGCGTGATAACAGCGGTTCCCTTGAATTGAGACGGCTTCCCCCGTCCACTCCGCATGGACTCGCCCTAACGTCATCTCTAAGTTTTAACGCAAGCCACCAGTCAAGCGCCCCTCGGAAAAAAACGCGCGCTCGCGTGGAGCTATTAACTCCCGCGGCGACTGTACCTTTATGTTGATCGTGTGAATAGGGTATTAGTCGGCATATGGGTTTACTCCTAAGACAATGCTGACATCTATCGGAAGACACATTTTTTCAGATGTTCGAAGCAGGAGCGAACACTACGTTTGTTAAAGGACCCATGAAACGAATTTTGGGCTGGAGTAAATCAATTTATATTGGGATTTTACTAATAGCACATCGTTCAGTGGGCCAAAAGAACAAAGGTAGCAAGTCAAGCCTGACTTTCGCTACAAAAATTTGCAAAACATAGCGGACTATTTCGTACCTCCTTCTCTTCGTAAACTCTCCGCCTTTTCACTGCGATACATCCGCGGACCCCGCAGCGCGTCACCGGGCTACTAGCCACCATAACCGGGCCCCCGCGGCGCGTCACCAGGGCCCAAGCGCACGTCACACGACACCGGACCTCACTTAATCCCTTTACCCCTAAGCTGACATTGCGGTGGAAGCTACGCGCTTGCCGGACCAATCAGCCGCCTCCCTTTCATCACCTGACCTCATTCTCTGCGGGTCGGTATGCGCGAGAGGGCGTGATCACGTGGAAAATGTGTGGCTGGCCCAACGAGCACGTAGCTTCCACAGCACTGTCAGCTTAGGGGTGAACGGGGTGGGGAAAGCAACTCCGTTTCACCTTCCGTCCGAGCACAGCGGACGCTAGGAGCCATCCCAGCCAACGCGGCGTTGAGGGAGTGTCATGCGACCTTGAGCTCCCTGTGTCGCCCCGCCCCACCGGCAGGTCACGCGACTTTCTCCCGGCGCTGGATCGGCTGGGATGGCTCGTGGCGTCCACTGCGCTCGGACTGAAGGTGAAACGGAGTATAGTCGGAATTTTGAGCGACGGGCTAATCTTCTAGGGGGACAATGGCTGTGTCCGGGCTACACAAGCGAGATTCCGAGCAAGAGGGGACTCCCTTCTTTCCGACTTCTTGAACTGTTTGGTACAATGCGCGATTTATGAGTTGAGGAGGAAAGCTAAACAGAAAAAAGTTGAAAAAGCGTTCTCGCGTCAAACTTCACTGCGTCGCACAGGCGCTTTGGTGTGAAGCTTCACAACCTCACACCGGCGCGTGCGCTTCGAGCTTCACTGCTTTGTACCGGCGTTCTAGGAGAAATGGACGACCTGCCGGTGCCTGGTTCAGCTGGCTCCATCATATCCAAAATTTTTCTCACTATTGTAGGTCAGCCTTCACTGACAAAAATTTTAATTCCGCCCCTCTTTTTGGAGGGCGATAAAGAGTGGAAAACCTCAGACTTTATTGTTTCGCTTGCCATGTTACGTTTTACGCAACTTTTTTTTTTTTTTTTTTTTTTTTTTACAATTGTATGCGAGATGTTTGATATGTAATTGAACAGTTCATTTTCATAGGTAAGTCTCCTAGAAAAGATCTAGAACCGCGACTTCTTAAAATACTCGCATCAATTCTCATTAAATGTAAACTATTCGTATTCGACTCGCCGTCAATTTTCAATATCCGTATTCGCGCATCTTCAATCAATAAATATCCTATTATACTGTATAAACAATTATTGATCACACTAGAATTGAGGCTACGTCACACTTCCGCAAGCGTGTCAGTTATTTTTTTTTCCCCATTTTCTTTGGCTTTTCACTAAATTTCCAGATATATGCACGAGATGGCGTATTTCACGCGGCTTTCGCGGTAAAGTGCGCGCAATGTGGCCTGCATGACCACAGAAATCTACTGCTGCGAAAATAAAGGTAAAAAAATGTAGGAAAGTAGGCAGGGATATTTCAAAATTTTCTAGGGAAGAAGTACCTCAGATAGGAAATTTTTGTACCGAAGGGGATTCTTGGATGTGGTATGGAACATCACTGCCGTGTAGTAGAAATGGCAAGTGCGAGACAGCGAGTGCGTTGCGCGCGCTGGTGCTACTTGCGCGATAAGTCCAGAATCCAAAAGACCCACGGCCTTTTGAAAATATCAGTGCCAACTACAACCTACATCATAAGTTCGCGTATCCCCCAACTTCCTAGCAAACGTATTTGCTACCAGTTGCAACTTGATCATTCTTTTAAATATGATATTGAGCGTCATCTTGCTGCTCCACAGCCAATGGCGTCCATATTCTACCCTGCGTTTTGCTAATCCGTGTGTGGTTTCTGGTGGCGCTGGCGAAAAATTATGTTGTTGACAGCCACTTACGTCTTTCTTTTTTCCAAGGTAAACAAGATGTGGCGCTAACCATGCGTCACATCTTGTTCACGAGAATTCCTCGAATGACAAGATTGGAGACACCAATGGACTAATACAGAAGCTCACCCTCCCGAGATAAATAGAATTTCGCAGACAAGAATAATGACATCACAGAAATGATATTGACTTCTAATCTCCAACACGCTTCCATTTTCATTATAGAAAAAACAAACAAAAACAAAACAAGTGTTGTGCATTGTTTGCAGGACATAATGCTTAGTGCGCTGTACACTATGAAATCATTCTACTATAATGTTATTTTATGTTTTAGTTTATGCCAAAACACTCAACTGGCGGTTGCAAGCCTAAAGAAAGCACTAGTTACCTACGAATTTATGTGTTGCATCCTCAATAAAATGAGCGGGTTTAATGCCGAATCATTTAGCAAAATTATTTTTTATCTCCTCTACTTTCAAGTCCACTGGGCAAGCATTGAAGGTTCTACACAGGGAAATATTGCTCAACAGTACACACACACACACAAAAAAAGCTTTCTTATGTATACTAAACTTTTATTAAAATCAAAAATTCTGAAAACAAAGTATGTTCACATTCTTTTTATCATTATAGTACACCTTACTAGAATAATGCTGTATAGCACGTCAACTGCCTCCTGTGGAGGCACCAGTGTGCTTATACATGCCTCAACCGTAGCCATGACATGAAAAACAGTACCATCGTCACACCTCTAAACTGAGAACACAAAGAAAGCATGAAATACGCTTGTGTCAAGTCATACGTACCATCCCTATACATATGCTACATAGTCTCATATACAAAGCACTCGCCCAAAGTGATCTCACAGTGACATGCCACTCTAGTCGCAGTATCCATCACCGATCGAGGGAATGTCATTGAATCCAGTACACTGCCCCTAGGGAATTGTTATACAGAGGAGAAAATTGTAAAAACTTGTAAGTCGAATGTCTTTCTTTTTTTTATGCAAAGCCATTTTGGGATGAAGCACTGTCATTTGACCAGAAACATTTTTTATAGCCAACGCACTTTATGCAGAAATGCTTGCCTCACGTGATATTCCAAGCCGTGAAGTAGTGTTGCACTCGCATCACGGACAAGACATTCATTGCCACCAACGGGATCCTCCCCCAAGAGTGTTGGTACAGATTTGTTAGGGTCAATACGCCGTATCGCTCGGCTTATTCATCGTAGGAAAAGTTTGACTCAAAGCAAATAATGTGGGCTAAAAAAAGTTAAATAAGATATCGATATAAATCCACCCGTAGCAATACATAGCAGGCACGGCCGTGCACGGCCAACCTCAATGAAATTTAAATCGTGCAGAAGCTTTGCCGACAAAGAAAATAATCCAGGACATATGCGCCACCCGATGAACAGAACCTCTCGAGATGCAAATCCTGCTAGAATTGAACCAGAAAGTGTGCTTTGGACTGGAGCCACTTAATAGGCTATGCTTCAAAGTAACGGCACTTCAACCATCTTGGGGCTTAAAAGCATCGTTGTCAGTTATCCGAACCTCGATCTGAAATCTCGAGAACGCCTTTTCGTTCGCCAGAAATGTTAAAACAGTTTGCAACGGAGCAAAAAGACATTGCTCGAGCTTCCTGACACCGTGTCCGAAGCGCAGGCAAGTTGAATTTGAGAACTATAACAACCGCCGACTGCGCCTGCTCTGCACTGAGCACCAAAATGGCGGCGCCCATGAGCGAATCGAGGATCGGGGTGTAGATGCTCTAAGCATAGCCTGTTCAGTGGGACATGCAAGTGCTGCGAGCACACCCTCAATGAGAACTGGAATATGACGTAACAAAACGAATTGGGTGGTGCAGACACCTGACGAAAAACTGGTATTGGTAGGTTGCCTGGAGCGCGTCTCCGACTGGTATGTCTACCGCGTCCTCAAAAGTGGTCGCTCTATGTCTGCCTCGCGACGTCCTAAAATTGCTGCGCCGTCGTCTGCCGCGGTCCTGGTGGCAGCACAGCCGCGGATGCGGCAGACACCCGTCCTGCCGTGGGCCGTTCCGCAGCCAGACGGTTGACAGACACTAAAGCTGCGGTCCCACCGCTAACGTGTCACACAAAAGACGGCCTGCAGACACTGTCCAAGGTACGTTCCCTCCTCGTATGACAATCCTGTCACAAAAACTTGCTATAGACGTGTTCGAAACATACATCATCATGTATGCATCAAATGTTGTGTCTTTTGTACGATGCTCGAGCGGCGTGACCTCGGCTTAAAGCAGCGACCCCGGCGTCGGACTGCCTTTTTCGCCAGCATTCCTAACACCGACCGCAAGGATTGCACCATTTGACGCCACGTCGCGCCGGCTGGCGCGGTGCTATTTGTCGCCACTTTGGGAGCCCTTTGGATGAGTGGGTAGGATAGGACGGTGACCGCCCCAGTCAAAGACACGTACCATGCAACCCCAGTTCCGGCGAGACAGGAACCGGCGAAACTGCATCCGACGGATCTCGCGTCCGACGGAAACGGATCCGGCGAAGTGGAACCGAAGCTAAAAGGCAGTTCAGCAGATGCACGTGGACTCGTTGTAGTTCCTGTCGTTTGCATGGCGTAGCACGACGCTCCGCGAGCGCTCCTCGGCATGGCTGGACTGCCAGAGGGAGGAGGTGGCCGTCATCATAGGTTTGGAGTTCTTGAGCTTGTGGGCGAGGGTCATGAAGATGGCCTCGAGGTGGTCCGACTCGCTCTCGTCCATGGCCGAGGTCTCGAAGAGCGGCATGTTGTGCAGGTCAGCAAACTTTTGCGCCATGTTGGTGCTCACGGCAACCTGGGAGGAAGGAAGGAAAGACAGCGCAAGTTTCTACATCGGGAAAAGCTGAAGGAGTGAAAAGTGGGTGAGAGATGGGAGAAACTATATTTGAGTTGGTAAGAGAAGCACCAGTTTTACTAGGTTTAGAGATATCTCTCTTTTAAAGCGTTCTGGAAGGAAATTGAGCTTAAATTTAAGCTAAAAGTTGAATCAGCAGTAGCTCGTGGAAGCATGCAAAACAGTCGGATGCGGCGCCTTGGGAAACCCTTCGGGTGAGTGAAGACAAACAAACTGGCACATTTTAGCCACTTTTGTGCATGACATACATTAAGTAAAAGGACATTTTGAGGGTTTACATACCAAATGAGATGTTTACCCCCCCCCCCCCTTTTTTTTTCCAGATTTTCGCAATGTAGAAAAAAAAATTAATTTGATGGCAAGTCTCCAGCAATGGAGTGAGAACTAATTGAACCATCTCGGTATCACTTAACATGCACCCAAAATCTGTTACATGGCGCCTTTTATGCAACAAGCATCGATTGAATCATGGGCACCTTGGGCAAGATTCGAAATCTGCGGTGATGGTACAGTGGGGTCTCGTTAATATGGACACCTCCTTTCCACCAAAAAAGCCTCCATAATTCAAGTTGTTCGTAACGATGCACATATTTACCCAGTTTGTTCCCGAAACATGGTGCCTCTAAAGTGGGGTGTTTATATTAATGGTGTCTGTATACTAACGACACATGACCGCACCTGTCCATTCTACATCCCAAAGGAAATGCGGTTTCATTGCCAAAGCCCCACCTTCTCCTTGCAATCGCACTTGTTGCCAACAAGAATGCGGGGGATGTCACTGGTGAGCCGGTGCTCGTCGCACTCCTCCACCCACAGGGGGAGACTCTGGTACGAGGCCATCTTGGTCACGTCGTAGACAAAGACCACGGCATGCACGTTGCGGTAGTAGTGCTGCACCATGCTTTTGCGGAAGCGCTCCTGCCCCGCTGTGTCCCAAAGCTGGAGCTGCATCGAGATGGCAAGAGAGTGAAGGCCCATTCCACACGTATGGCACGGCACTAAATAGCTCGAAACCAGCCATTCATCAGCACTATTGTCGGTGCTGACTCCATGCTGAGGAAGCACTTCATTGTGTCTGTACATTGGGAAACGCAGGGTCTCATGCAGCAGAGTGCTGGCACAGCACTGATGTAGACCATAATCGTTGCGCATACAGCACAGAGCTGGCTCAATGCTGTGGACACAGCACTGACTTTGCACTATGTATATCACTGCTGTGTCAGCGTTCCACTGCATGTGATGCTACCTTTTCCAATGTACAGACACAGTGCAGTGCCTACTCAGCACTGAGTGAAATTTGATTTGTCCATGCCTCACGGTTTCGGTTATGACATTTTCTAACCAGCTTGCCTGTATACTTTTGCTTCTTGAAATTCCTCCCATTGTCCTCAAGTTCTGACGGCATAATAAATGAAGTGAAAAATGAATTGAAAATGTAAGTCGCACCTAATGCATTGTCGACCTCTTATACGCCAACATCAATGCGGTGAACTCAGAATGACAGCTCCCAAGCCCACAAGATATGGGAGCCTTGCAACAAGAAGAAACAAATTAAACAACTACTGCAATAAAACGTTTATCTCTCTCAGCAAATCTCACAGCTGCTTTCTCGAGCAGAAAATACATACGCACATGCTAGTTTTTTTTTCTTTTTAACGTTTATAGGTTAGGTTTTAAGATGAAGTGAAGCCTCAAAAGCGCGACCGCAAATTTCCCCGCTAAATTTAGAGGGCAAAATAGCGTGGCATGGCTTCATGTCTATATGCAAATAAATTCAGTTTCCCAGCTAAATTTAGCAGAAAAATTGACATCACGTGACCTCAACACCAATTCAGTTTCCCCACAAAAGTTGGCGGGAAAAATAATGTCACATGACTTGTCACATGACCTATACATGTTTGCAAGTACGTCCTCAGGGCATCGCCATCTTGCTCGCTTGGGTAACACTTGGGCACGGCCATAATCCGATTATGACTCCTTAACCGAAAAATATTCGAAAACTTTTAAGAGATTTCACATTTTTTGGTTCTTTTGGCATTCACCTGGAGAATTGGTGGTTAAACATTAGCAAGGCGTCATAAGCGGATTATGGTCGTACCCAAGCGCACCCGAAATGAGTAAGATGGCCGCGCCCGAAGGCCGTACTTGCAAACATGTATACACAAATTCAGTTTCCCCGCTAAATTTAAAAGAAAAATGTACATCACTATGATGTCATTGCGTGACCTACACATAAATTCAGTTTACCCGCTACATTTAGCAGGAAAATTGACAAGTGAAAAGAGGAGTTAGCACCCCTAACTCTAACTAACTGTAACCGACTCTAACTCCAACGAACTCTAACACTAACTCACCACTAACTGCACTTAACACTTGGTTTAGCACTGGTGCATGGTTTAGTACAGTGGACTCGCAATAATTCAAACTCTGATATTTCATACTTCTGGTTAATTCAAACAAATTAAAAAATTTTGGTTCTTCCGCCATGTTTCTCATGCATTTATAAGCTACTTAATTCATACAGCATTTTCGCTTAATTCATACTATTTGTTCATTGCGGTGGGTCAAAGACGTGTATAGAGAGAGTTTGGTCAATGGGAGGTGCGAGCAGAGCTAGGGCGTGCACCAGACTCAAAAAGAGGGCTTGGCATGCTCTCTTGACCAACCAGAAGCCGAAAAGAATCCCCTAGCGGTGGTAGCGAGGAACAGTTCTGATCAAAAGTATACCTTCGTATATGGTTTTAATAAGCCCATAAGAGTGAAGTGTAATAACTCTTTGTGGTTGAAAATAGGGTGCACATGATGTTTTGATCATGATCATGCAGAAAGATGTAAGAAACGAATGCGCCGCTCAACTCTGTTTTGCTCGGGCAGAGTGTGACTGCTCGGCGGCAGATTCTCGGCGATGAGCGTAAGGATTATGTCGCTCGTTCCGCTAGTCGCACTCTTCCACCATCATTTTAGATGAGCGTGATTGAAACATCACGTGTACCACATTTTCAGTCACCGAGAGTTACTCGGATGCACTTATCAGGTTTGTTTCTCGCGACCGCCGCCAGGGTATTGTTTCCAGCTTCTGGTTGGTTACATTCGAATTTGTGAAGACGCCCTGGAACACGCCCAGCCCGCTTTCGGCCAATGGCGCTTCCTCATTTGTCTCCTATACTTTCCAACGAATGGCCAAACTCTTTACACATACGGCTCTGTGGTGGGTTAACCCTGCTGAGTGCACTTCTCACTGAGCACCTGTGTACTGCAAGAAAACAATACCTGCGAAGCTCGTGGTCATTTTTTTCTGCAGTATGCGGGTGCTCGCTGAGGAGTGCACTCAATGGGACTAACCTACCGCAATTATGCAAGCAGAACTGTCCTGACAATCTGCTTTCATTATTCATGCTTTTTTTTTTTCTGATGTGGTTAAATTTGACATTAAAGAAAGAATATTTGCATATAGCAAGCAGATATATAAATTCCCTCAATTAGCATAGCTGAGCGTCTCTCTAGGTTTAATTTTATGTCAAATCTGTCGTTTACATGCCACCTCAACGTAGGCACTGGACCTTCTGAGGCCACGGTTCATAGATATAGACCCTTTTGTTTACAAAAATGAACTGCCATTTGCGTCCCAAGCGACATTTGTTCGCTCCATCTTTGCAAGCCTGTCGAGCTTGCTGATGTCACCAGTGCTAGAAAGCATAAATGCTACACGGACAACAAAGTTGGAGATTTAACGAGGGCATTCGGACATACAATTTAACGTCCTGGAAGAGGCAAGTTGGTTGACAAGAATATTGTAAATATTTTAAGAGATTTCACATTTTTTGGTTCTTTTGGCATTCACCTGGAGAATTGGTGGTTAAATGTTTCATTGACATTTCAAGCAGTGGTGTTAAAGTGGGCTTTGCTCATCCTTTTTATGAACCAAAATTTCTCTGGAACGTCAAAGACTGCACTGCCTGGTGGCATTTGCCATGAAAAGGCTGTATAGTTATATTAAAACTAACTGAGCTTAGAAGTGGACAAGTGGAAGGTTGGGAACAACCTTCATGAGTTCGGCTGAATTTTCTATAGTAAGAGACTGGGAGAAACTATTAGATTAAAATATATTCGGCTAAAACCACTATTCGCTTCGAACTTCACCAATGTTTTATGTGTGTGCCTGCTTATAAATAGGTCCCTGTAGAGGGAAGTGTAAACATCTGCTTGGTATCTGTAACTATTCCTATCTACAGCAAGTTGCTATTTAGCCTCACATCATATTTAGATGAAGTTTTGATCATTCAAACTTCTGATACTTCAGACTAGACTCTCGCTTCCTGGAGTTTGAATTAATGCGAGTCGGCTGTACACCACCAGCGCTAAACCAAGAATGTTTCATGTGGCAACACAACACGTACATAGTAACACAACACGTAGCAATACAGTTTGCGACAAGAAAACATTCTAACCAAAGATAGCTTTAGAGAATAAGTGCACTGCCTGCACTGGGAAATGTGAAAATGTGAAAACAAAAACATTTTTTTGCCAGCATTTGGGTTTTTATATTCCCCAGAGCATACAGCACACTTATTCGTTAAAACCACCTTTGGTTAGAACATTTTATTGTCGCTAACTGAGCCAACTGGTGTACCACGCTAGACAGAGCTACCACAGCTGCATTTTTTACGCAAATCAAAAACCAAAAATTTTGTAAAGCTGGTTCTCTATTTTTTGTGCGTCAATTCAGCAGTGGATAAGAGGGAACATAATAATGTTCAAAAATAGCATAAAAAGACAAAAGAGATAAGTCTAAAAATTGAACACACCAGGTGCTGGTCTGCGCTATGCTAACCTTCTTCAACTTATATGTTTTCTAGACATGTTTTTTTTAGACATTCTCATTTCGCCGTGCATAACCAAGTGGCCCAAGTTTAACACTATCCTACAACTCCTATATTCCCTTTCCCTCAAAGTCGGATTGCAGCTGCGCACACAACGCGAACAATGAATGCCCCATGATCGTGCACTTTTTTCGGTGGATGCTTGGTTTAGCCGATAACAAACGCACAAAGACGACGAGTGCCGTGACGATTAACTTCTGATGCTACCATTCGATGGCGACAATCAGTGTCTCCATTAAGTGATAGCTTCGGCTGCGATCCAACTGATCCTTTGCCTCGGACCACTGACGACCTTGGCGGTTTCACCACAAGTCTGTTGTGCGCTCTTCTGCACCTATTGATCCCTTTCATCGTTTATAAACAGAAACAATCTCTTGCTACACAAGAGACTTCCGGTTGCTCCGATTCGGCAGGCATTCTGAGCCCAGGAATGTCAAAATTCCTGGGGCGATGAAGTTCTGCAAGAATCACGAAGTTGGGAATTTAGCGAGGACCTCATGTTGTGCTATTCAACATATAAGAGTGGATGGGTTGTCTTACAGGAGTAATATTACAAATCCCCAACAAATCTTTCGCTAAACGGTCCTTTAGCTAACCGCCTGAGCCCGTTTGCTGGAAGCTGGCTAACTTTAACCGTGGCAGAAAGTTAACCGTGTTTCCCTACGAGGGGGAGTGTTAGGTCAAGTGACTGGCAGAGCAGGGATGGCGGGGAAACATGGCGGTGCCCCTTCCAGTCAGCTTCGCTCGCCTTGGTACTAATATGTCTTAGTCACCGCACTATCGGGCATGTCTGTCAACAATGAATGGTGCAGGAGGCTTTTGCTTTGTCTTATTTCGCTCAAATTGCAAAGTATGTGCAATGATCTATCCCCATTTTTTGGGTAGTCTTTTGATTCTGGCAATTCCTAAGCCTAAAGGGACGCGGTAATTGTCAACATGGCAAGTCTTTGGAATCCTAGTGGGTTGTGTTGACTCGATCGGCTGGGCGTTAAAGGGATACTGAACCGAAATTTGGATTTCGCAAAGTAAGGCTGCAGAAGTGTTAAACGAGACGCTACGAACTCCAAAACATCACTCGTACATCGATATCTCAAACGGATGGCCATACTTTTGTAAAAGAAGGGCGCGATCAAGCGAGGTCTTTGACGTAACTGTCCTCCGGGAGAATTTGAGAATGAGGAGAAGCGGCCTCACTTCTCTCCTCCTCGCTTCGGTTCACCAGCTTGACGGGACATAGCAAGGAAGAGAGAGAATGGGAATCGTGACGTGCCTTGTATCGTCGGCCTCGTCGGCCGGATTCAATCGCGCACTTCTTTTCCAAAAAATATCGCGATCCGTTAAATATATCGCCGAATGAGTGATATTTTTTGGTTTTGCAGCTTCCCGCCTATCCGCCCGGCCTTGTTTAGTGAGCTCGAAATTTCGGTTCAATATCCCTTTAATGGCACGAAGAAGCAGACCGCATGCCAATTTCCGCAGGAGCCAAACTATGCAATCTATTTTTTTTTTACAGAGAAGGTTTTACACCCACTTCTTGCATGCTAGTCAACGTTACTAGATTACCGTAAAATACCGGGCAAGCGCCCACTCAAACTTTGGGGTAATAGCAAAAAAATGGGGGATGGGCGCTTGTCCGGTCATCAATTTTACATATAAATGTATTGTGCGTGTTTTTTAGACCTCACAAATTTGATAATGGGCACTTAATGTAGAATGGGCGGATGCGCGGTGTTCTACGGGACCTCAGTTGTGGAACTCCCGCAAAAGGGGGTACCCCCTTCACTCAATTCAGTCCGCTACCCGTCATTTAAAGTGCCATCTAGATTTTCGTTATAAAACTGAGTGGCCCATGGAGTATGGTGGAACGCCATTTGATGGTGCGCTTCGAAACATTTGTATTCCATAGAATACACTGTAGATACCATAGCAGCCATCCGGCACGTCGAACAATGGGAGGCGAGTCGGGTGAGTGAGGGGCGGTACTGCCCGTGCAAGCGGCGTCTATGAGCAGTTCCGTAACTGAGCTAATCTAATAACGTTGATGCTAGCCGACCATGCTGCCGGTGTGTCGCTCGCCTTTCACTGCGCACTTGTTACTCATCGTTTCCTAACACTGAACTTCGCCGTCCTCTTTCGCACTAAGAAGAAAATTTCAACCAGGCCTGTCTTGACCTCAGACAGTCAAACATTAAATAACATAGCAACACCCCTTACCGATTTTTTGGACCGCGAGCAACAAAAAGTGTTTCTCAAGCTCAAATGTGTACCGTGCTGCGTCGCAAACACCCAGCAGCGCACTTACTCAGGTACCCCATTTGCAAAAAGTTTTTCATGAAAGCCACTTATATTCGCTACAACCAGTAAGTGGCACGAGATACCTCCCCATAATAAAACACTCGGCTATCGTGCATCCAGCCCTCGTCAAGCTTGGCTAGGTACTTGTATGTACCTAGTAGGGGAGGGCTGTTCACTTTTTGCCGTGGTTAAAGCTAACCAGCTCTCAGCAAACGGGACCTGGAGAACTGGTCATTAAAAATTTTATGAACATTAACAAGAAGCGTTGCTATGGTGGGGTTTGTTTGTCCTCCAATTTGACTGGAAGTTTGCGGGATTGTAAATTACCAAAAGCGCCTCCCTGCGGCGACAATTCTTGGTTCGCTAGCAAGCAATTTTATTTATTTATTTATTTATTTAATTTACCTCAAAGCGCCCTTTCGGGCATTGTATGAGGGGGGAGTACAAGGTTTTCGACAAGAATTTCGAAACGATACATATCGTACATATTTGCTTAATAAACAAGAAACAATGCAATACACCCACTCGAAAGGAATACACTCTTACACAAACAGGAAACAATGTGCCAACCAGGCTACAAAAAGAGAGAAAAAAGACCATCTTTGCACATGAAAAACAAGAAAGACACCATCCCGCGATTCATTCCATGGAAAAGTGAAACAAACGTTCACATGATGATCTCGTGAGAACTACGCTCTAGAAAAGCCCCAGTGTCCCAGTGTCATGCTTTTCAGGTGCCGATACGTATCGGTGCAAACAAAATGTCACCAGTGTAGTCATCTTGACTATCTCAAGACGGGGAACGCCACGGACGCCGCCGAGCCTGGGTGATTGCAAGACAACGGCATTGGCAGACGGTGTTTGCCTACTTCAATGAGCCACTGACAGAAGACGCAACGCACGAAACGTGAGAATGCAGCGCTGGCGCCGCGGTGCCTCAACCGACCATCTCCGTACAACTATGGACCACTACGACACGTACAAATGCAATGTGCACGGTGATCGAGGAAAAAACCTTGAATACCAAAGCAAGCAACTCAAAATACTAGAAAATTGTGCATTAAAGAGACTCGCATTGCAGCAAATTACTTCAACAATTTAACTTAATTACAATTTGCTCCAAAAGTAGTTTAACTACAATTACTACTATGTGAAAAGTAATTCATTACAGTTACAAATTACTTCTACAAAGTAATTGAATTACTTTAGAATTACTTATTTATGAAAGCGACCCGACTTGGGCCGTATAACTTTAAATGAGTTGTGTAAAATGCAGCATATTTGTTCATACCTTGCCCCAATGTTTGAAGAGGCTTAAGCATCGCTGCATAAGTGTCACGTATTGTACTTTCCTTTTACGAATTTTGTCAAATTCATGATAGAATTTGACAGTTTGGGGCAATGAGGTACTATGTTCTTATATATTTAATAATTAATTATAAATTAGTTCATATGCTGGAAGACGCCAGATCGCTAAAGAAAAAATTGGGTTGACAGACTTTTGTTAGCCGGGCAAATCAAAATGTGACAATTAGTCATATGTGAATATTTTACTAGTGTTAATATAAAACTAAAATTCACACGTGCTAATACGACCACATCCACATACAAACATCATGGTATTGTAAATTATTTACATTGAGCTGAAATTATAATGGCTCAGAAATATATAAGAACCAAATCGGGGCTCCCAAATCCTTGGTGACCATATTCACAGATGCGAGGTCAATCGCCAGAATGCTCACGCAAATAACATGCAAAGTAAAACCACCAGGAAATAAACTTAAAAATAATACGAAGATACAAACATGTGACAGCACTGGAGGAGGGACAAAAAACTGGCAAAATAAAAAGAGAAATAACTTCATAGCCAATTAAAATTCCCAACCTCATCTGAAAGATCAAGCTCAAGTTTTTTTTCCTTTAATATTCTGGCATGTTTACATGATTGTTCTCTGCTCGCACCGCAGACGGCGCTACACGGCGCCATCGAGGTAGGCTCCAAAGAGGATTGTCTTTCAGCCCGCAGTGTAAGTAACAAAACAAGACACAACGCAACGCTATTTTTGCTGGGCGTGCGTGTCAATTTGTGCGTGTGTGTCACCGAGCGCTAGGCCGATTGTGCGAGCGCCGAGGCTTACAGAGAAATTCTGTCGGCACTGCAAAGTCTTGCAAAGTATATTGTAATTGTGCTTAAAATTTTCCAATTACTGACAATAGAAAGAAATTAAATAACAATCCCTTTTTGCTAAAAGTAATTAATTACAATTATAATTACCAGAAGAGTAATTAAATTACAGTAATTGAATTACTGCCCAAGCATGCATTGCACTAAGGGAAGCGTAATAGAAGCTTTCGGAAGATTTTCTGCTAAAACCAAGACCCGGCACGCCGACGCCCCTGAGGAAGCTCGACGCATATCTTCGGTGCCTCAGGGAGGTAGGTGCCCACCGCTGATGCATTGCCGTTCACGAAGCATTTGAACGCTTTTAGGTATTTGTAGGTTTTAGGTCGTTCTTAGGTATATCAACCAGGTGGCTCGAATAGTTGTGAAGATGTGCCCACAATGCCTTCAGCAGATTTGTCATTTCCTTGAGGAACAAGTGCTCTTTCTTTTCACCCAAGGAAAGAGTGAGGAATGCCGATCCTTTATTGGTAGATTTCTAGAGGTACCACAGTTAGTCCTCAGCGGCGAACTGAGGGACCTCAAAAACAAGCAAAAATAATGGCCAATTGAAAGTAACATACTCCCCTTAGAAGTTTGGCCATGATTAGTTTATTTTTTACTTCCACATACCCTGTATAGTCACATCATTCCTTCCATTTGTAGATATATTTCACTTTTATTTGTAATCTAAATTTCTTCGGTCAATTGTATTTCCTCGTGTGCTCAGGAGGCTGGCTAGTAGGCGCCCATGCCTACGGCTTATATACGTATCTGCTAGCCGTGCACGCCTCCTGCTTTCCCTCTTTTCCATTGCGCAAATAAAACAATGCCCGATTGATTCAATCAAACGCGAATACGTCACAACATTGATTTCAGTCTGCGTGTTGGTGATTGTTTTGCCACTAGATCTTGGCCCCGCTCGATTTTGAGATGAGACAGAGTGTAGGGCTTCCGAAGTTTACCGGGACGTTAACGTCAGTGCGTCAACAGATGAAAGCGCGACCGATACGAGAAGGCGAGCCAGCGATCTTGCGTACACGTAATCAGCGTTGTATCTTTGTTTCGGACCGTTAGCCTACCTACCTTAATCTGCTCGCCGTCTACGTCGACGGTCCGTTCCCGAAAGTCGACGCCGATCGTGGCCTCGGTCTTGGCAGGGAACTTGCCGCAACAAAAGCGGTACGTCAGGCAGGTCTTGCCGACGTTGGAGTCGCCGATCACGATGATCTTGAAAATGCGCTTCTGTTTTTCCACGCTCACCCGATTTGGCGTGCTGCCCTGAGTCGTTTCCTCCATCGTCGATCTCGGCGAGACAGAAATTCAAACGATCGATCAGAAATTGAGTGAAGCGTTGGGCTTTTGGGTGAAATCTTGGGCCTTGGTGTGTCGCTCGAGCTCGAAGGAAAACAAATGCAGCTGTTTACAACATCCAGGCTTTGCGTCGGTTCTTGACACTCGGCACGTTTTGAGGCGACAAACGTGACTAGAAAGGTGGGATCGAGTGCGCCTCTTCGTGCGTCCAGTGCTCAGTTCGCCGCTGGTTTGGGATCGTAGAAAGCGCTGCGACAGTTTCACAATCACGACAACAGAGTCAGTTTCGATATTCGACTTTCAGCTCAGAGACGCCATGTTTGCAACGAGAGTAGTGTGTCTCTTTCCCGCTTGCTTTCCCGTATGTCTTGATTGAGAGGCGTTTGCAGCGTTCAATTTTAGGAAACAACCTTGTTCTGGCACAAGTATTTAAATAAAGACATAAAAGCAAAGTAACTGTCTTGACATTTTCATTATTTAATTTGTTGTTTACTTTTTGTCATACGAAACTATGGATGTGACAAGTGGGTTGTTAATGCGTTTCCTTTTCAATCCCGACAGCCACCGCGGCGCTCTTGAATCCAGCATGGCGACGAAATACAACATCGGTGACCCTGTATGGTAAGGAAATTTTTTACGCGCTAGAAACGCGAGAGAAATTTTTACAATTCGTATGACGAGCAGCGAGAAACCCCAGTTTACCCTCGGTCTAACTCTACATTTTTTCAGGGCAAAGATGAAAGGCTTTTCGCCGTGGCCCGGCAAGGTAAGTCCGCTTTGTTCGCACTGCCTACACTTCAACGACTATTCAAATTCAAAAATCGCCACTCGACGCAGCTTGGATGTTTGTATTAAGCGAACGAAATGGATCACTTCGTTTACGTCGAAGTCGTCGTCTCGGCGTTCTTCTTGGCGTTCTGCGATTCGCGCGAGTCGCTTTCGGTTTCGCCGAACCGGCAAAGACGTCAGCGAACCCAGGGTGTTTATGCTTTTAGGCCTAGCAGATTCCGCCAAAACTCGTATCAACTAACTCTTGCGGCGACTGTAACTGGCCGATTCTCCGCGCAATTTTTTCTTCACCGGACACGCTTGTGTCGATTCTTTTGCATGTTTTCGCTTGATTGAGGAACGTTGGGCTGCGTTGCTGCTTTAGTGCTGCATCTAAACGTTCTTTGTGTGTGTAAAAGAGCGTGGTAAAAGCCACGCTCGCGTTCTAACGAATTTCGAACTCGACGCGCGCTGCTCAGTGTTCAATTTCCACTCCATGTTTCTTTTTGCTTGTTTTTTCCCTTTCCCACCTAAGGTTGCCAACCCGACGAAGGATGTGAAGCGTCCTGCACTAAAGAAACCCATGCAGTGTATTTTCTTCTTCGGAACAAACAACTAGTAAGTACAAATTCCTTTCTCACTTTTTTCTTTTTTTGCACATTTTGTTTTTGCGTGATTGTCGACTGGCGTGTGCACCTTGAGGACCCCAGGATAGCGGTTGTACTACGCTGGTCAAATTGACCAACTGCAGTGGGGACGCCAGTTGCCATTTCAGCGAAGACTGCTCGCAACTTCTGCGACTTAAAGGGAATGACGCACTAGTTTTTATCAAAATAGCCGTAACATCCGGATGGTTGTAGAACGGGACCATATCACAAGAGCAAATGACATTTTAGCGAACAGCGACATTTGAGCGAATAACGGGGGCGCACGTTAACCCATCTGTTGCGCTGCGCTTTACGCCGCTTCGCGGCGACAGTCTGCGGCAGCTCACAAAAATATGAACCCATTTGGCCCACTCGCTAAAGTGTCGTTCGGTGAATTGTGGGCGTTCGCTAAAACGTCATTTGATCAAGTGAGTGCCGCCCTTGTAGAGCAGCCGTACAAGGTTGGTTCTGCAACGCAAAGTAATTTTTATTTTGTGGAATGCGAGCGTTAAAAAGGCCTATTCACACAATGCATGTTGTTGGCAAATCTTGTGTCACGAAACTAGGTTTAGGGAAACAAATTCCCCGTCTGAATGTAACCAAAAAGGTGGTGCGTGTTCCTCGCTTCTGGAGCAATTTTTTGCTGAATCCTCGCCGAGGCCTGTCAATCACCCGAAGGAAAAACGCGGACGCTGCCAATGACCGCTCGACTTGGCTATGGCGCCTGACCTTTGAGGCAGAGCAAGCTTTTGGAGGAGTCTGATTTTTGGCCGATTCCGTATCCGAGCCAAAGCCGAAAAAAGAAAAACAAACATGGTGAGCGACAAGCGGAGAAGCAATGCTTACGGGTCCTGCTCGGTTGAAAGTGTATGAACGGCTTGTTAGCAGTATGGGTTGGTGGCGCGGTGCAGATTCATCAACAGCCGCAACGAGTGCAAGCACCGCATATAAACACGATATTTGGGGATAATTTCTTTTAGCAGTGCAAAAATGTTGGAAATACTTCGAGATCATCCGCCTGTTAATTGACATTCGCGGTCTTTCCCAGGTTTGGCAGAACTAGTAAACCCAGTGAGCCGTATCTGACGAAGTTTATTGAGTGGTATTAATAAAACAGACTGTCTCTTCACACTGTGCGTACTTCATATCATGTTGGTGCGAAAGGCTTGATATCCCCCACGCAGATGACAAGGTTTGGCGAAATTCTCATGAGTCAATACGTCACAGGTTTCGCGCGTTAAACTCCACGTGAGAACAGGCCAATTTCCTGAAATCTTGGTTTCGCTAAACTGGCGCTTTGAAAAGATGCATTGTGCGTATAAGGCTTTAGAGTCTTACTTCTTGCTTCCACGTCGGGAAGGTGTAAGCAAGCACCTTCATTCTGAAGCCGATCGTCCAGGAGATAGGGAGCACAATTCTCACATTACAATGCCACCATCGCTGAAAATTCCAAATAATTGCTGGCACGTTGAGAAGGGTAGGACGTCTCTTTTAAACACCTGGCCTCCAGCACACGCTCCTTACCTTTAGCTGTGCTTTTCCGTAGGCCTTGCATTGCCTTTAGCCATTAGATTCGCTTTGCCTTAGCCGTGCACGCTAAAGGCGGATCAGCTGAAATGTCTCCCATCTTTTTCTCATCCTGTTAGTGACCATAACTTCCCACTGTCGAGATATCCATACAACAAATTCAAATTTTTCCTATTCCAGGCGACGAAACATAGGTGCCCAAGCTAGTCTTGGCCTCTGGGTGACCTGTGCGCCTTACATTTCAAAAAATAAGTCCCAAATGTTTTCAGTGCAGTTTGTGGCCGTCCGCTCGTGGTACAGCTGCGGGGGGCACAAGCAAAAAGGGGACGTGTGCCGGTTTTAGATCCAGGCCCCTCCAAGTTGATGGCAGACAGCAAATAAAGGAATGAGGCAGAGAACTTGCAATTGAGTAGCTATGTGGCAATGACGTCGAACACAGTGGGTCACGATCAAATGAAACAATTTGCAGCGGTGGTTGTGCCACAGTGTGAGAATTGCGCTCTCTAGTTCCTGGATGATCAGCTTCACTGTAAAGATGTTTGCCTACACCCTCCTAATACCAAAGTATAACATGGGGCTTCAGTATCGCTCATAATCAACAAAATTATATTTACCTACGCGTTGCAGGCCTAATTTCGCATTGTTGTTCTAGGTCTGTCATAGAGATGACGGCCATTTTGACTTGCCAGCTGTCAGCATTTTTGTGCTTTCTATTACGCGGGCATGTTGGTGTCCTAACCTGAGCACTGCGACCACAGAGTTTGACACCTCCGGTGCAATACTTGTTCGACGTTCGATGCAACATTGATCCGATGCCCGGACCTTGGCGACTTTGCAGTGCGTGGATCCAGGAGGACCAGATTCAGCCGTACGAGGGCAAGAAGGATCAGCTTTCCAAGTCGAGTAAAACAGCAAGCTTCAAGGAGGCTGTTGAGGCTATTGAAGACTACGTCAAGACCATGCCAGAGGTGAGATACTTTCCTGTTTCTTCAGCTTGTTATTTTTATTGAAAACACTACAGGTAGGTGACGAAATTCCGCAATGCCAGCACAAACGAAAGATGTGACTTTTGAAAGACTATGTTCCACGGATCTGTGCGACATACCGTCTGATTTAGGAGATGGGATGGTGCCATATGGGGAATTGTGTTACGCAGGATACAAGCGAAGTCTGTATAGCAGAACCTCGTTGGTGTGCACCCAGTTTGGTCAATGGACATCTGACTTCGTTTTGCAGTTGGACGGCGACTTCCGCCTCCCTGTACTGTGCCGCCGTCGGAAAACACAAATGTGTGCATGTGACCAACAAGCTTTGCTGTAGCTCCTGTGGTCACTCCCATGAGAGCACGACACATTCATGTTTCCGGATGGCTTTGTTGGTTTCACGGCGAAGTCCAGAAAATCCTAGCAGTGAGCTGAACGGCCTCTGAAATTGCAGTCCCTGTTATACGTTAAAGGGCACTATTGGTCAATATTTTTTTAATTTGAGATTACGACTCTTTAGCTAACGCAGTGTCCCCAAATTACTAGGTATCTTTTCTTTTTCTCTATATTGTGTGGTTCTATAAATATCACAGCTCAAAGTTTAGATTGAGCGTCTACAGCAAAACCAAAACTATCTGTGAGGAATGGCAACACTGATCTCCGGCCGTGACTTGACATCATTGTGGTCCTGCGGTATGCAGTACAACCAATGACTCGCGGCTCCACTGCAACGTGACTTCACAGGTGTGCTGGGCCAGTGTTCTTCGACTGAAAGCTAAACCGCTTGCCGGCCGATAAAGAGCGCTGGTCGCATCTTTAAAATTTGTTCTAATTGAGTGCGCGGCTTCGCTTTGACGAAATATTTCGGCTGGGATCACATTTCGTGTCGCTAAAGAGATATCAGTCATTTATTTTGGTTCCTTTTTGTACGGGAGTTGCCCTTTAACTCCGTGGGATGAGTAATAATGGCGCCGCCAAATTGTCCCAGAAAGTCTGTCGGTGAATGTAAACCAACTTTCACATTCCTTTAAAGGGATACTTCAACAAAATTTGAAATATATCCGTAGTGTTCAAAAATAGGTTGAATATGATCCGCATAATCCTTAAATGACAGTCGCATGTTTGTATTTTGAGCCTGGTGGCTGTATTTTTTGTTATCAACTGCCCACTCTAGCAAGCGCTTGGAGAAGGCCCAGCTTAGAGCACATGACATCCGGCGCAATCGTGACGTAGTTCGTCTCGGGACGAGCAAAGCTACGGCGAGGCTGACGTCGAGGGGATGGCGTAGTTGTTCCTTTGTACGAATTTTGAGTGACGGGTTAATCTTCTATAATCTTGTAGGGGGACAATAGGTACTTCTGCAACACACAAAAGGGATTCTCGGGAAGACGGGAGTTCCTCCTGCCCCTCTTCTCTCGTCGTGGCCGGAGGCGAGACACTCACCGTCACTAGCTCTCAAGGTTCCTGGACGGGCATTACAAACGAGGCGTTAGCCACTCCACCAGGTGCTCCTTGTTAATCGTTTAATTTGTTTTATAATTACTTTTCGTGACTCTTTTAACAAGATATTGGTGTCTTCGATGTGACACTCCTCCTTTGAACACATATAGACCATAAAATAAGCGCTGAAATTCCGTTGTAGTATCCCTTTAAAGGCTTCGTATCCTCAGCCTGGCTACAGTAAGTCCTTATACTTTTTTTGGTTGCACTTTGAAATTAAGTTTACGCCTTTTTTCACCCAGTTTGCTCTCGGGTTCTTACGATAGGCTTTGCGTCGACTTTTCTGTGCTGTGTTGGCCAGGATAGTACAGTCAGTGCTGCAGCCTTATACTTCTGCTGGTAAAGGGGGTGATGGGGCTCTGCCTTTTTGCCTCTCCGCTAAGCCTTGCTTGGTATGCTGACAAGATCCAGAAACAATTTTGCAAAAACAAAAACGAAAAAAAAAAAAATTATATTTGTGGTTGAATTGCAAGCATAATCTAAACAATATTTATCATTTTGTTCAGGAGTGAAACGGAGAAATTTTGTGATTGGTTTTCGGTTTTAAAAGAAAGTTCAAATATTTCAGCATTCATTCTACGCAGCAAGGTAGAAAACTGCCGTTGGTTTACTGCCATTTTAAAGGGGTAGGGAAACGAAATTTCAGCGCTCATTATCTAGCTTGAATGTGTTGCATGTTCCACCCTAACCTCAAAAACACCAGCCTTCCGTTGAAAGGTGCAAAAAAACTAATTTTAAAGCTAAATAAACAATCTTTCAATGTGCACCTGGTGGATGCATGCAGAGCCTATTTGGGAGGTAGTCTAGCAACGTTGTGGAATCTGCTGCGTAGTCGTGACGTAGCAGATTCCTTCGGAGCAGCGCCGCTCTTTGGCATTTCAACATTTTCCCTCGTAGCTTTCCTCCTCAACTCACAAGTCGCAGATTGTACCAAACTGTCCAAGAAGACGGAAAGGAAGGACTCCCCTCTTTCTCGGACCCTCGTTCGTGCAACCGGACACAGCCATTCTTCCCCTAGAAGATTAGCCCGTCGCTCAAAACTCGAGCAAAAGTTGCTTTCCCCACCTGTTCAACCCTAAGCTGACAGTGTTGTGGAAGCTGCGTGCTCCTTGGGTCAGCCATACGCTCGTCACCCCACGGGCACTTCGAACGGCTCGGTTGTAGCGCGCTGACGCTATTGACACCACCACAACGCTGACAACGCCACCAAGGGCAAAGCTCATAACCACGCCTGCCTTGCTACTCCACGAACGCGGGAAATTTTTTCTTTCTGTTTTTGTTTGCGCCGGTTATCCCATGACGCATCGCGCTCTCTGTTCGCTTCTCTTCGAGCGCTTGCTCGAGTGCTCCGTTTGGAACGAAAAATATGGCCAATCGTTCAAAATACAAACGTGCGATTATCATTTATGGTTATTTATTGTCATGCTTGACTCATTTCCGAACGAAATCTGAATATTTCAATTTTTGCTTCCGTACCCCTTTAAAGGGAAGTCAGGCGTGTGAGCTTGGCCCACTGGACATAGCATGTTTGCTTGAAATGCTGGATAAGGAGCAACGCCTTCCGAGAGCCACGAATTTATTGACATTGTAGGAAGAATGAGATGAATGCCAACTGGAACTGTACACATTAGCACAGGTAGCCCTTGGCATTCCAGCCACACAGGTCAGTGTGGAGGGGGCATTCTCAGTGCCGACGTTCATTTTGTCGGAAGAGGTCTCGCATTTCACTGGGTACAGTTAATGACAAGCTGTTTCTGAGGTTGTGATCAGTGCCTTGGGCCGTTCTTCCTCGCAGTGTCGTTTACCCGGATTTCTCGGTTTTCTGTCGTTGTAAGAGGTGCACACTTGGTTGGTTCTGGATTTTCTTCGCACTCAAAGAGAAACCGTTACGGACCATAATTTTTTTTTTATTCTGAAGCAGAACAGGAACAGAATGCTTTTTATAGACAAAACTATAATTGGGACAAAAAGCATTTCGTTCCGACACCCTGATCCTAGCCATCTTCTCTAGCAAATGTAACGAGAACAAATGAAAGCCGCACTTAGCTTGATTGCTGGATGATGTACTTTACCAAAAACTGCTTTTAACATGAAATACGTGCTTGTAAAACACTTTCATTGGCTCTTGAACTTTTTACTAGCTTAGAAGTCTTATTCAATTAAAGGGGCCCTGCAATCCTATTTAAGCATCTTCCTTTTTTGCTGTTTCACCATTTCTTGTGGTTCGGGCAACCCAGCAGACACGGAGAGATTAACTAAATATCAGTGCATCATATTTTAACCGGACGATGCAAAAACCTCCCCCTCTTATGGGGGCACCCCGCAGTGTCGAACGCACACAGCATGTGACGGAATCGTGACATTATTGGTCCTGGTCAGCCGAGGAGAGAGAGCTGCCCCGTTCCCGGGCAGCTCACAACTCCTTTCCCCGTCTTCCCTTCCCTCCCCACATTCCTCAATCGCCGCGGTCCGCAGCGATTAAACAACAGCAAAACGTCGTTGTAGGGCCCCTTTAAAAATTACCCAAGCAGCAGCGCAGGCAATTTGGCAAGCAGTGATCGCCATTGCACTTCAATATCTTCAAGGCCACTAAAAAATCCACGCAAAACGTCCGTTCACGTGACCAGCTCCAACCAGTACAACGTGCTCTGCTCTCGTTATCCGCTACAGGTGCCTAGTTTTTCCCCCCGCAAACATTTCACAAGCGTCCTCTATCCGGCAAATGTTTTTGGAGGTGTTGTTGGTCCTCCAACTTCGAGAAGGCAGTTTCAAGATGTCAACACCTAGTAGTAGCTGGTAAAATGAAATTAATGCAAAGGTGCAAGTGGAGCTGGACAAGAATGATGAAAATAATCCCTAGACAAAGGGAACAATGGGGACAAAGGACAAACACAAGTTTGTCATAGTAGTTGGTCACTGTCGTCTCCGCAAGACGAAGCAGCGCGACTCTCAAAAATACGAGGTTCTCTCGTGGGTGCTTGTTTGGGAAATGGACCGCTGATGCATAGAAAAGGAGGAGGAGATGTTTTCTTCTTTCTTGTGGAGCACCGCAGAATCATGTCAGCCCTACCGATGTTGCAGTAAATAATCGTTGTGGGCTTTGGGCTCACTCGTCCATGCCTCAGAAAGAATCTTGGTACATCTTGGTGTGGATCGGTGCACCTTTGAAGCAGTTGCCCAGAGAGCAAAATGGGGTTGTGTCTGCCTGCAGACGCTTGTTTTCTAGAACTTAGTTTCACGTGAGTCTGAGTGTTCCAAGACGATTGACATACCATCTCGGGACTATGTTGTTCTTCTTGTTTTCGCTGTCCGCTCAACGGTGTACCAACGAGGTTCTCCCGTACTGAACTTAGTTACAAAAATGTAAAAGAATTGGCTCAGTGTGTGCTGAAATGTCGGCACAGAAATGGCAGCAACGCATGAACCCTCGCAGTTCTGAGACTGATCTTCTCCTCTGCTTGGGCTGCTTCACAGACCGACATTATCAATGTGCTCGGGACAGACAACAAGCTCTGGTAGCACATCATCGAAGGAGGACAGAAGTGATTGCAAGAGCGCTTACAAGAGGTTTTCTTAACTCTTGTGAGGCTGCTGAGAGCCCTTGAGATGGAGCATTTCTTCAACGAGTGTTTGTGTGGTTACGGCATGTGGGAATCTAGAGGCATGTGTCTCTAGAAGGCTCTATTGGTTGAGCGGAAGTGATTGTTTATTCATTTTACTGGTTTGTTTACCATTTTTCAATGTGAGTGTGACTCAACTTCAACCCTGCCAAACAAACGAGTGTGGGGCCCTTTCTGATTGCTCCGAGTCTGCCTGTAGGGGAGATCCCTATTATAAGGCATTTATGTGCACTCGGTTGCAGAGGAGACGAGAATGGCGGGGCGTCTCTTTTGAATGACCGTTCTCCAGCCTTCTATCATGCTTTGGCTGTGTTTGCATGCTCGAAGCTTTCGAAACGCCGAGGTGCTGTAATAGTATTAAGCTCGTGCTGAAGGCAAAACAACTGAAAGACGTCCCTGCTGTTCTCAGCCTGTCAGTGATCTTAGTTTTGCGTGTAAGCTACCGCACATATTTTTTTCCACCGTTTGCACACAGTGATGCTCGTTCCCTGTGCACACACCCAGAACAGTGGTAAGGCTCAGGAAACTTGTGACAGCAAGCAGAGACAGACGTGAAGACGGGGACACGGATGAGCGGTTGTCCGTCTTATGTTTGCGCTTCCACGTTTCCTGTGCATCCTACACTGTCTAGCCCAACAAGTCTGTCAATGGACGATAACAACAATGTTCTTCTGACACGCAATTGTATTGCGCTCGTTTGACCTCGAAGCTAGTGGGAGATGGGACAGGCACTTAGCAAAAGTGTAACGATGTCCGAGAAATATAGTTTGGACTGGCGTCCCCCGGGTCGCCTTACGGTTCATTTCTCACTCGTAACGTTATCGTGCATTATTTTATGTACCATGGGCAGGGGGCCCAGCTCTTCGTGAAGACGATTAGGCTATAATTTTCTTGACGCACGCCGTTTTTTTTTTTTTTTTTTTTTTGCGTCCCCCATCACTGACGCTGTTGTGTTTGCACTTTGCAGCAGCCGGTCAGGAGCTCTGATCTGCCCAGCATTGATGAGGAGCTATCCACAATTTTTCCTAATGGTTCTGAGAAAGATGCCCCCGTAGTCCGCGGCGCTTTGTCCACCCCAGCCAAGGTGAATAGCCGTTTCAAAGTTAAGTTTGAGGAAGCGGAGAGAGAAAAAGATTTTGTAACGCTAGTGTGTCGGCTCCACGGGTTAAAGGGGTTAGGACATGCAAAAAAATACAATGCCCGAGATAACTGCTATTAGATGTCGCTATATCTTTGCTAAACATCTTTTTTTGTAAACAACTCACTAGTTTCGTGTACAAACTCTGTCGTATCTCGGGATCCTCGGACCCCCCATTCAGGAAGGCTGCCATGTTTGAGGTAGTACGTCCCCCAGGAGGTAAAGGCGGAAGCAGAACGCAGCAAATCTTACGTATTCGCATCGGCGAATCCAAGTGAAAGGACAAGAAAGAGGGCAACAAAAGAGCGGAGAATGAAAGCAGACAATAGTTTAGGCGTGTTAGTTTTGCTGCAACGAGTTGAAGTTGCTCGAGTACTCGTCAACTTAAATTTATGTTGTACAATCTGCGACGCCGGTGTTTTCGTGAAAATTAAAGCTAGAAAAAACTAGGTACATACCTTGGAAGCGGTGTTTTTTAGCTTCTCTGTGCGTATCAAAGCATTGCCACCAATATACAATCCCGTTGGGACCACGATGCCTGCATCTATGCCCTGCCGTTCTGGAAGCGGCCGAAATACATGGGGCCTTTCCCTCTAGATTATAATAACTCTGTGGCACCCCCGTCTCCATATGTCACGCGTATATCTGCCCGCCTGCACTCGCGGGCTTGGCTGTTTCGGCGCTTGAGCTGCTTTATCTTTTGACTTTCTCGTTTCCCTCCCGCATTTCAAGCTGTCAGGGTCTAAGGCGTCACTCACGTCGCCAGAATCTTTTGTTTCGAGAGACTAGGAGCGAGGAACAGGCTAGGTGGCAAGGGAATAAGAGTAGCAGCGTAGCGTGTGAGCATGGATAGGCCTAGAACAAGAGAGCATCCAGCTATCGGATTACAATCACGTGGTTAAAGGGATGCTGCAACGAAATTCTAGCGCCTATTTTATTGTCTGAGTGTCAACCACGTTCTGACCACACCACAGGGACACCAATTTTTTGCTCAAAACAGCACCAAAGGATTTTCCTTTTCTTTCTCGGCCTATTCAACTCCTGCGGGGAGGGGCAACTAAAACGGCCGAGTTGTAACGTGCTGACGCCACAAAGTGGCAAGGCTCCCAACTACGCCAGCTTCCGGGAGCTCTCGAGACGCATCGCATTCGTGACGTCGCATTTTCTCGCACGGCAAGATACGTGGAAGCTGGTGTGGTTGGGAGCTTCGCCACTAAGTGGCATCAGTGCATCAAAACCTGGCCATTTCTGTTACCACTCCCCGCAGGAGTTGAATCGCCGCGGGAGAGAAGGGAAAAGTTGGTTCAACCAAGTTCAAAAAAGCTCGCACGTATGCGGCTTGCCACCGTACATCCGTGGAGCGGCACTGCTTTTATGTTCAAATAGATATAATGACATTCATCTTCCTTTTTTTATGTTTTCATGTATTTTTTTTTTGAAAAGATGACTGTCTCGTGTGCCCAGGACGTGGTGGACATTTAGACTATGAAATAGGCGGTAGAGTTTCATTGCAGTATCCCTTTAATGGACACCACGATGCAGATACTTTTTGTCGGTTAAGACAGTTCTCTCCAGGTTGCCTGGTCAACAGATGCAAATGATTGATGTATGAAAGTTGATTCTCAAAGTTACCGGTGCTAGAAAAATCACGAAACTTGGTTTGTGTACTGCCATAAAATACCGTGCATCCGCCCGTTCCGCAATAAGCTCCCGCCCCTCAATTTAGGAACATGTGAAAAATACACAAAGGAAATATCTATACATATTGTTGAACTTAGGAGCCCTCCTTCCCCGGGTTTTACGTGATTATCTTCAAATTTTGAGTGGGTGCGTGCTCGGTATTTTACGGTAAGTAGCCTGCAAACATTTTGTATAGAGAGAAATCCAACCGGTTTATTTCTGTGTCCTAACCCCTTTAACCAGCAGTTTAGAACAAATGTTGCCAATAGAAGTCATGCTTAGCTTGGAGGTAGTCTGGGCACTAGTTGAAGTTAGGTAATGCTAAACTGAAATTTTTTTTGTTTGTGTTTTTAATTACCCAAGTTAAAGAAAATGTAGTTCAAAGTTGAGCCTCTTGTCTTCTATGTATACCAGAATATTAAATTAATGGGGCGGCAAATAAAATTTTAATATTGTGCTTTTTGTGATCTGCACGATTGTTTTTGACTAACACGCTTGCTTTGGTTGGAGTCATGTGTTGCTTGCTCTGGGTGGAATCGTCACAAGGTGTTCATTTGGGTCGCGTGTATAGCTATCAGTTGGCGTAGCCAGGAGGGGCTGGGAGCATCAGCACCCCCACACCCCAAGTCACAAACATCCCAAGCTCATCAACCCCCCAATAAAAGAAAGAAATTCCTGGCGACTCCACTGATGGTTATAGTCACTGATGGAGTGAGAACGGCGGGGCATGTCTTTTGAATGCCCGCCTCCAGGACACTCTGCTCGAGGTGCAGAGGATGCCAAAGCACTGTCGAAGCTAGGAAGCTTGCACTGGAGGCGGTACAACTGAGGCTGCTCCCTGCCCTTCTTATCTTGTCAGTGACTGTGGTCAGACTTCACAGTTCTGGTTCTCTTTCTTCGTTTTGGTCACGTTTGGGGCTACGCCTTTGCAAAGCTCGCACATCGGCCGAAAAGCATTGGTTTTCTGCGGGGGAAGTGAACCAGAGACTTGCGCCGCTAAATTTAAGGGGCAAGGGTCAAGAAACGAAAGTCGTCGTGACGCTGTTCCGGATATGACGAAATCAGTCTGCCCCCAAACGTGCGCTAGTGTGTGGCAAGCTCGTGGTTGGTCGCTGCAGAAAAACAAAGCCTAGGCGGGCCCAAGTTGCCAACGGTATTAGGGCGGCAGGGACGGCATTCAGTTGTCCCACCTCGTGCATGCGTGCGGAGCCGAAGCACGACGGTAGACAGCAAGTGCATGGTGGAGGCCATGCATTCGAAAGGGACACCCCGTCATTTCCGTCCTGTCGGTGACTACGAAGTGCTCGATTGATACAAAACTGTGCCGATGCCTCTTCCGGGCTTGAGACCGAGTTGCTCCCCGGCCGTTGCAGGACGCATCTTTATCGTGAGACATTTTCAAAGTAATGCGGAGCTCGAGTTTGTCTGCTTTTACGGCGGAGCTGTTAAGGGTTAGTTTCCCCAGGATCCTGTCCCCCGCTAAGAAATGTCAACACAAAACTCTGGTTGCCGCCGTCGGTAGCTGTCCAAAGTGGTGTGTTTGCCGGTTGTCCGCTTGCTGCCGTCGCTCATAGATGGCGCAACCTTTCGAGCCCTTCCCTGCAGGGTATCTTTTGTGGCAAAGTAGCTCCGCAGCACATCCAGTGCAGCGACCGCCTGTGCGAAAGTAGCTCTTGGAGGAGTTTCTGGCTCATCCTCGTCGTCGTCGTGCTCGTCTCCGGTAACTTGGCCCTGTCGCAACTCCGCCACGATGTCAGCAACGGTTTGGGGGTCGCACGTTGGGACGTCGTCGTCCACAGCGACGAAATCGCTGAACGCCAGCTCCGCGCCGGCGGACCGGAGCTCCTCGTCCATGTAATCATCTTCAGTCTCGCAGGGGTCAGGGTCACCGCTCACACAGGGCTCGGGCTCCTCCACTTCTGGCGAACGCCGAAACCCGCACTTCCTGAAACAGTTCTTGACTGTTTCGCTGGTCACGCTTTCCCACGATGCATTGAGGTAATGCATTGCATCAAGCAACGTGACCTTGCCAGGGTCCTCGCCTCGGGACACGCGAGCCAAGAAGCGTCGCACGATGCACTTCCTGTACAGGTGCTTCACGTTCTTGATGATCCCGGCATCCAGAGGCTGCAGGTGACTCGTTGTGTTCGCCGGCAGGAAGACGACTCGGAGGTTGCGCAGGAACGACGTGTCCTTCGGATGAGCTGAACAGTTGTCCAAAAAGAGAAGCCCCTTTTGGTTTTTGCACACCGTCGAGGTACCGCAGAAACACTTCGAAGAGGCTGCAGGTCATCCAAGCCTTGGTGTTATGCTTATATATGCAAGAAAGCCGAGCAAGGTTTTTCAGGCATGTCGGGTTCTTCCATTTCCCGATCATCCACGGCTTGATCATTTCCGTGCCATCTTCGTTGCAGCAAAGCAGCACGGTTACTCGATCCTTGCTGACCTTCCCGCCCTGGCACTACTCCCCCTTCAAACTCGGGGACTTCGTGGGTTGCACCTTGAAAAACAGGCCAAGTTCATCGGCGTTGTAGACGTCGCGTGGGGCGTAGGCATTCACAACGCCTGGAAGCAATGAAATCCAGTTTTCAATATCCGCCGGATTCACGCTGGCTGCTTCGTCATTCACTTGGCGGTACGAGATGCCATGGCGAACCCGAAATCGGTCCATCCAGCCGTTCGAAGCTGCGAAATCCTCGATACCCATGATGTCTGCTATCTCCATGGCCTTTTCCCGCAGAATGCTGCCGTCGAAGTTCACACCAGACGCCCGTGCTTGCTTAAACCACTTAAGCAGCGCATCCTCCAACTCTTCCTGCTTTGCTCCGCGGGCCTGTTTCGTCGCTGCACCGAAGACCAGGGCGTTTTCTTCTATTTGCTTTCGTTTCGACACGACCGTGTTGACCGTCGACGCAGGCAGTCCGAGGTCCTTGGCGATGTCAATTCTTTTCCGTTTAGGGTCCTGGTCGACAAGTGCCAGGATGTTACACTTTTCCCTCAAAGTCAAAGGTTTCCGCTTGCGCGATGCCATTGCCGGTTCTCGGGCACGGGTACGGAAAGAAGCTAAGCTGACGCGCACCACGGCACGGCAACAGAGAAATGGCGGAATGCCGACCTCACGAAATGTCAAACAAAAAAGATGTCAGGTTCATTCATTTACTACCACCCGTACATGGCTCAAGAGTTACTCTTAGGAAAGCGTTTATCATCCTCAGAGTCTCGTAGCCAGTTTAAATGGTGTCTTCAGGCCCTTCAAGCATTTAGTGGAGTAACCGAGAGTGACTCTTAGTCACGTGTCTATCATGAAACCGACTAAAATCAAGAAGCGAACGCGAACACATCGACATCGAGAACGTTTGGCGTGCGGTGCGTGCGGCGACAACCGTTCTGCCTGAGAAGATTGGGAGCTCATTGCCCAGAAAACGTATAATCCGATCGATGTTTGGCGAAACTTTGGACGTACTTCCCGGGAAATCGTATTATCCAGAAACGTATGAACCAGTCGTAACTCTATGGGACATTTTTTGAGCCCTCGATTCTGAACGTATGAGCCGGGAAATTGTATGAGCCAAGATCGTATCAACGAGGTTCTACTGTAGTCGGCTTTTTGTGGATGGCTGTAACTAGACGTGTTTGTGGTAATGTAACTGCATTTGTAGCTAATTACATTTCATCTTGGGTAACATTGACCTAATCGCAGTGCTAGCCGGTGCGACCACCGCATCTCGAGAAGCGGTCCCTCAATTTGCACCCAACGATGTCGTAAGAGTGTCGTGCTGTCACCAACCGCAACCGCAATCGCTGTCGCATGGCGGTGGTGGATGTAGCAGCTCGCTCTCCAGCTTGACAGTCTGTGGGAGTATGGGCAGTCACGAGTTGGGACGTTGCGACACTCGCATTCGCTCGTGCTTTTTGCCCTAACTTCTAGCACCAGCTGCTGGGATCGCGACGTCCGACGACGCGACACACCGGCTTTTGCGACGTCCTTCGTTGTCGCCTCGAAACCACTTTCGACCGACGCAGGGGCAGGGCAGGACGCTGAACGCACAGGTCGAAGATGCGTTCCAGACGCCTTGGTGGAGCAGTTGTGGATTGCCCGCCTCCGCCGTTGTCTTTATGACGATTCTGATGGGACCCCGGCATTGTCTTCTTTTCTCTTTCTCGGTGTGGCGACACGCAGCTGCCAGTGCGGAGCGTGCCGGCGGAAGAGGAACCGGAAGAACTCCCGGCGCCCTCCTCGCCGCCGCCGGCCATAGTGAAGACCCCCAAGACGCCCAAGGACCGGAGTACAGAGGACAAGGAAAAGGAGCCCAAGCGGAGGAAAAAGGTTGGTCTGGCAGTTTCGGGGGTTTTGACAGGGCACTTGACCGTTTGATTGTCGTCGCCGGTGGCTATTAAAGGGCAACTCCAGTCGAAAACAAAACCAAAAGAAATTACTGGTATCGTTTTAGTGGCACGAAATACGATCGCAGCCGAAATATTACATCAAAGTGAAGCCACGTGCTCTGCTAAAACCGATTTGTCAGATGCGACCAGCTGCTCTTTAGCGCGCAGCAAGGGGGTTGACTTTTAGTCGGGGAAGGCTGGCACAGCACCCGTGACGTCGGGCCGTGGTGGAACCGCGGTTGATTGGTTGTACCATGGTGACGTCGCGCCGTGGCCGTGCGGCTGATGACCAATGTTGCCATCCCTCTGGCAGATAAGTTTCGGTTTTGCCGCAGACGCCCGAAACCAAACCTTAGGCTGTGATATTTATAAAGCTATGCGCGATATCGAAAAAATAGTTATACCTTGTAATTCAGGGGCACTTCTTTAGTTGAAAAAAGTTGTAATCCCAAATTCAAAAATATTGACCGGAGTTGCACCCTTTAAAGTTTGGAACGTGCCCCCCTAGACGTGAAACAAACTAAAATCTTTACATTTGTGCAGGCTTTGCTTTGCTGGGGCTCTTTATCATTTTGAAATTAGACGCTCCACCCGCGAGATGGCTGTTCCGCACATCGTCCGCTCTGGGGGTAGTGGCAGCGGAGCACCGGCTCTTTCGATTCAGACTTTTAACGCTTCTCAGAATTTAATTAAAAGGATAAGAGCTTGCCATTCGACGGAGAAGCCCTCATCCTTGTTCGATGGCGCCATCTGGCGCTGGCGATGCTTCCTAGGCAATTAATCCTCTATACCGATTTTTAATATAGAAATCGGCCACGCACAAATGTAATGTTTCTTTTCTTTTAAAGATGCTTTGAGCTTGTAGATTAAGTTATGACCGTAAACAGTCCATCGCAGAAAGTGGCTTAGTGCCCCTTTAAAGCCGCAGTCGTCTCGATCATGCGTCGAACAAAAGCCATTTTGCAGACGCTACCCGAGGCGCATGACTTTCTTGTCTGATAGTCCCGTCATGTTGGTCATAGAAAAACTCTTCTGCAGACATCGTCAAAGCACGTATTGCAGGAAGGCTTCGAACGTGCGTGAGGTGTGCACGCAGATAATTCTTTCACCGTTTCTGCAGCGTATGGGCAGTGTGACCCCGGCTTGAAGGGAACCTGCAGCGGTTCTGTATTTGAGAGAAAACGCTTAAATCGTCTCCATTGGCCTCCGGGATCACGAATGTCAAGGTCATTTTTTAGATTTGGTCTACGGAGGCTGTAGAAAATAGTCTTCGAAGTACAGCCGAGGCCCCTCCTTCCCAGAGCACGACGTCACATTAGCAGGGAGGGAACTGCTGCGCCAGTTGTGCCATGTGCGCCTAATGACTTTTCGTGCTCCACACTGATACAAAAGTATAAATGAGAATGAGTTTGCACCAAGGTGTGCCCAAACAAATTATAAACGAGAATTGCCGAAATTAGCCGTCTCACAGTTTTTGTTGGCAACGTTGACGTTGGAACTTACGGCAAAAGGAAACGCCGGTGGGTCCGAATCTGAAGCTCTGTATCCAAGGGTCGCTGCCGTGGTTATACTTTGTTTCAGCTTAAAACAGTTGTTACAGCATCCATCATTGCGAGGCTTCTGCTACCAGACCTCTTTGAAGCCATTCACTGTCGCTCTGCGAATGCTACAAGGACGAGCTCCAGACCTTCAGCGTCCGTGCCAAGAACGCGTGCAAGCTTTGTTCAAGGCCACACGCTGGCACATGTAGCATCGACTGCTTCTGGACATAAGTTAAAACAAAGCATAGCTGCCGTTGCTGTATGCTTTTCTGGAGTAACCTCATCTGAATAGTGGAGCAAACTGCGCCGCCATATTGCGATAAACTCAAAAGATATTTAATTTGGCGTGCCTTCCTCTTGTCTGTACTTGCTTGACTATAGACGTTTCCACTGTTTATAAATATGACAGTCCACACGTGCAAAATCAGTCCAGCCAGCGCTTGCTCGCTGTTGCGGCCAGCCAGAAACTGCGTGCATAGCACACAAACATACACTTTTATGGAAATGTGTATTGAAAGCCTGCAGCCCGCGTTGGCCCACCCTGAAACCCCGCTCAGAAAACTTGGAACATAACAAAGGCGAGTGAGCAGTGAGACGTGTGACGGAGCAAGGTACGAGCTGAAAGCTATCTATTTGTTTATATTTACCTCTTTGCAAGTCGGTTCCATCACCTGTCACACTCTCGTGCAGTTTTGCTTTATATGTTTTGTGTAATTTTGCTTTATAATGTTTTGTGTAATTTTCATGTAATTTTGCAAAAAATTATTCAAATAAAATGTTCATTGAAACAATGTTTAAGTTCACGTGGAGTTATCTGCACACCATATTTCCTTGAGTTTTGAAAACCAGATGACATTTAACCTCTATCTTGACATTCTTAAAACTCATATGCTGCTCCCAACTTGCTCGAAGACCTTGTTTTTGCTGCTCCCAGCCTGCTCCAAACTGTAGCTTTTTCTGCTCCCAAGATTGCTCCAAAGCTGCTTTGCCCAGTTCCATCCCTGCATTAGGAATTTTTGGAATCTCCGCTCTCGCACATCTTCAGGGCCTTTCAAAGCCATGCACGAGCAGTCTTGCTGTTTTCGAAAAAGTCGTGAAAAGACATCACGACTGGTTTCAGTGCAGGGGATTATACCTGGCAAGCTTGCGATTGCACGCACTGCCGACATGACTGACAGGCGCTTGGCAGCCGAATGATCCTTTTATGACATGACGACTGGTCGTAGGTTTTTAAGTTTGTTATTATCCAAAACGATTGAAAACAATGCCTGGACATTACCCTCAAAATTTGAAACTTGAACTCAGTATTTGTGAAGTAAAAGACGAATTTCCCATAGCCGAATTTGAAGCACCCGGGCGATCCGCGCCAATGCAGTGACGACAAAAGATTGAGTCGTCCTTCGATTCGAGTTTCTCTCATGCCTCGGAACCGTCCCGACTCAAAGTGTCGTGTTCGCCAACGTCCTGCAATCGGCCGCTCTTCTTTGTGCCTGCCGCCTATCGCTGTGAGGAGGCGACGCTTCACTTTTGAGTTGGAAGTTCTTTTAGGGCCCTTTCAGCGATCTCAAATTCTTTGAAACGGTGTGAGGTCGAAGAGAATGTGCAGTGAACTTCTGTGAGCAACGTGAGGGGTCACGTGGCTCTGGTTCTGCAAGAAAGGCTGCCCTCTGTGGTGTCACAACCAAAACTACAGTACACGAACGCCAAACCCTGTATTCTTGACCGTTTGACGATTTCCTTTTCGAAGTCCAAGAGGTCGTCAGGCTCCTAAAAAAGTTAACTTTGTCCGACTCACCGATCATCCTCAGTGCTACATGCGCCTAGCGCCGCCAGCGCCTCCATGTTTTCCAAGGGAGGTTAAAAAACCGGGAAGCAGCGTCACTCCGGACTCCGATGTAGTGCGTTTGCATTTGCGTTCAAAAACATGTTCTACGAATGTCGTTTTTAAATATTATAGAAATGTCACTTACAAAGCTTCTAAATTTCGTAATTTCTGACGTCGCAAATAAAAAGAAGCGAGGGGTTAAGAAGAGAGAGGGAAGGGCACCAAAAACACAAACGCGCCTGCACGTAAGAAAGTATTTTTTTGTGGTATTTCTTGTGTATGGCTACAACTCGCATCGTTTTAGACAACCCAACCTTTGGAGTGCCAGTGCCCCTTTATAAAGGAGCTGTGCAACAATTTCAGGGCTTTGCTTAAATAATTTGGGAGTTTGTGTCTTAACCTTTCTGAAGTAAAGATCAAAAAACCATTTTGCCTGCATATCCTAGTTTTTATTTTAGAAATTGACAAAGATTGGGGTTTTCGGCACCTCTCAACTCCTTCATCTTCCGAGTCACGTGCGCTGCGACGTGAAAGAGGCACGCACAGGGTTTCGGTGCAGCTCTTTTTCTAGAGCCATCAGTGAGCAGCGAGAACTCGTCAGCTCGCGACCACGTGACCACGTGCTTGCTTAGCGCAATCAACACAGCAAAAGGAGGAAAGTCTCGTCCGGCTCTGCCCCCATCCCCTTCCGGCTTCTGTTCGCGGTAGCAGATAGAGCTGACAGTTTTGTTGACCTCGGATAGATGGCGCCTCTAAAACTCCGTAAAATAAAAGTTTTGTCGATGATACCAGGGTTTTGATGCATTTATATTTATGTTGGGACAGCAAGATTTAAAGAAACATTACCTTTTATCGAGCAGATACTTGCACAACTTCCTATCTTTTTACAAGTCCCCCATTGACGTCACGCCGCGTGGTTCTCATGGCCGCCGGTTGCGGCTGCAGGCCGGGAAATGTTCTAATTTTTGCCTCGCAATTACGCGGCGGAATTGGAACATTTCAAAGGCCAGATGACCAGATGAGAAAGAAATAATTTTTTCCATTTCCATTTATTGTGGTTCAACACTAATAGTGCACACTCCTGCAAATTTTTATTGCAAAGTCTGAAATATTTACGGAGAAGTAAAACATTTTCGGGAAGCCGACGGTGCAAAATCGTGTTTTGAAAATGTGAAACTTCTATGTTTCCTATTCTCTAACAGCCGTGACTCTGCACCTGCACACCCTAGAATGGCGACCATACTTTCGTTGGAAAGAGCATTTTGTTTCACAGTTTAAGTACCTTAAGTATATTTGGTCGAGAGCTGACACTGTTCGGGCAAGAACGCTATAGATTTCTGCTTTCCCGTGGAAAAGGCTGTGGACATGGCCAAGAATCGCAAAGCCCTCCCTGACTGAAGAAAAAAGTAACTAAAACCAATATTCGTTTATAGAAAATTATGTGGGTTTGTCTGCATTGTGTTTCGACGATGCTTGCCCTGCCCATAATTGCCGACGCTGGTTCGTGTATTGCACGCATACCCAATTCCTCACTCGTGTCATAATCAATGTCCACATGTCGACAACAAAGTGACACTGGAAGAAGGCGTTTTAAACTCGGACTTGCTCAGCAAGGCCATGCAGGAGATCGGGTGTAAGCAGAAGGCATTACCTATCCTCTTGGTGCTTTCTAGTTGTCACCACCACCAGTAATATCAAGTGAAGTGCTGTGGAAACTTGAAATAGATTTTCTTCTGTTTCACTTTTTGCAGCAACTTTTGTTATAGGAAAGCTATCATTTCAATGAATTGCAGAATTTTTTCTTTGCTGTGAATATTTCCGAACTGAAATTTAATCAGGAATGTGGCTAAATATTGATTTTTCTATTTAAATAAAGTTCTTATTGCCTAAAAGTAAGGTTTTGATGAGAAGAAAATGCCTCATTACAGGGAATGCCTTTCAAATTGTGATTTGCACAAAAAAAAGCGCAGATATTAGGGTAAAAAATAGATAGCCGCACCCCCCTATATGTTCTAGTTACACCTGAAGCGTAGAAATGCTCAATAGTTTGCAGCTATTTTATATGAAAGATTTCCTTGCCAAGTGAGGCAACTTACATCAATAGCTGTATACCTCCCCCTCTAGCTTATCGGAGAATTGTCCTACGAAGATGAAACGTCAAACAGTGCATATAGGCTACGAGGTGAGCTTCAGATTTCATTAATACTAGTGATGGACCGAACCTGCCGAACTTTTGAAGAAAACTTTGGCAAAGGTTCGGCAAAAATTCGGCAAATGTCTGCGCACGCGCGACAACGCGACGGGGCCGTGGAATGCAATTGGACGCCGTGCTGTCGTGCGATTATTATCGTGCTGTGCAGTACAACCAGCAGTTACGGCGAGGTGTGGGGCTGTGAGGGAGTGTGGCTCTGTTCAATACGTTCTGTCTCAAGAATAGAAGATCGACCAGTAATTTACGGAGTCCTCTGTGCGAGTGACAAATGATGCGGTACATTCTGGATAACGTGATTTTCATTTGTCATTTCCAGTGATGCAAGGGAGTAGTTGCAACATTGGCACGCAATTACTTTAAAGCACTTCTCGCAATTATAACTATTCAGTTTTCGGCTCGGAAGTTGTGTGCCAAAACAAAATAATATTGCTCTTTCAATTAGCGTTATTTCGCGATTTTCATGTATCTGCATAACACTAAACACAAAGCTATCATGCTCGACGTTGCACATCCGACATTCCTAACTCTCCCTATCTTCCTAAATGTTTGTGTGTGTCCTAACACCAGAAACTATTATTGTAGAGATTAAAAACAAGACATTGCGAATATGGGATGCACACTTTCATGCAAAGCTGACGTCAAGTGACTCAAATCGAAAAACAAGCATATTTACAATAGTAATATTATCTCTTCTGGTGAAAGCTCAGCAACCGTTGCATTCATTCTCGCGCACAAAACGGTGACTCCCAGAGAAAGCAAGAATGCAGCATTATTGCCTTCATTTTAACAATGTACACATGCAGGCTTGCTCTGATAATGCCTCGAAACCGAAACTCTCGTAGCGTGATTTGTGACTGCGCCATGCTGGCTTCTACCCAACCTCGTTGTCACGTCACTTCTGCAAGGAGTCACTAAAATTGTCAGTAAACACACAAAAACGTCACCGATACAATTATATTGTAGAATATCACCTTATTTAGTAATAACTGTGTCAATATGCATTACATAAATAAAACCTGGAGAAGGGGAACAAGAAGGACAAAGTACAAACATAAATCTCCAAACACAGCTAGGTGACTGGTGAGCTACCGAAAAAATCCGCCTGGTCCAGGTATCGAACCCGGGACCTCTCCATTACAAGTGGAGCGCTCTACCAACTGAGCTCTACCAACTGAGCTGGACAAGAATGACGAAAATTTTCGTCATTCTTGTCCAGCTCACTTGCACCTTTGCATTTAATTGCATTATAATTATAACCTTAAATTTGCAAGCTTCACCCTTGTTGGTGTTAGACTGATGGCAACTGATAAAACCCGTTTGCTCTACTGACGTCTAACCCCTGGTTAGCTCAGTTGGTAGAGCTCTCCACTTGTAATGGAGAGGTCCTGGGTTCGATACCCGGACCAGGCGGATTTTTTCGGTCGCTCACCAGTCACCTAGCTGTGTTTGGAGATTTATGTTTGCATTACATGTTGCATTTAAGTTAAGAAGAAAGAAAAACAACATTTTTTCGTTCGAAAAAACTAAATATCAACGTTAAGTCTGGTACCAATGTATTTTGCCGAATCTTTAGAAAACTTCTGCAAAAGTTCGGCTCGGCCGAATCCCAAAATTTGGCGCCGAACTTTTGATTCGGTAGAAGTTTGACCCATCGCTAATTAATACTGAGCGACTGGTTTAAAAGTTGACATTTGAAGGTGTTGTCACCCCTGAAGGCGTTTTTGCGGCGTTTGCTAACGCAGGACCAGGCACACAGGCTGTCCAAACGAACGTCCTCCGAGAGCAGTAGTACGGGCTCGGCGAGCGCCAAGCGTGCCAAGCATGCCAAGGTAACCGCCGACAAGGGGCCCCCCGCAACGCCTTCTACACCCAACAATACCAGTGGAAGCATCGCCAACAGCACGGCGCACGTCTCGTCTCCCAACGCCACCTCGCCCTCACCCTCCAAGTCCCCTTCGAACCTCCTTCGCCAGTCGTACGTCAGCCGACCGGTGAGTGAACGCCCTCATTATGGTGCCCGAGGCACGATATTGATCATCGCGTGGGCTAGATCTTACTCGCCCCTCGCAGAGCGAGCGAGGATAGCAGTCGTAGACGATTTCTCTGCTAACGGAAGCGAAGAGTGCGATTCGTTTGCTACAGAGTCATTTGCGGACAGAAGTAAGGAGAGGAATCCCCGTTTGTCGTCTGCTAACAGATAAAAAGAGAAAAGAAAGTTGACCGTCTGCTACGAACTGAGTGAGATTAGATGCGGGCCGAAATTGTGATCTTTGTTAATTAAATTGGAAGCTCGAGCTGTGTTTGCTAATCTTGAGTTGTTCTGCTGTCGTACACGAGCTGAGATCAACCGATCTACGAAGAAGTACTAAGGACAAGAACATCAGAGGCAGCGAGACCTCTCGTTATTTGTGCTTTGGTGGAACGTTCCCACCAAAATATTGCCTGACTGTGAACTTGCGAACAAGTCTAAGGTTGCCTATGCGTCAGCCATACCGCCATGACCAATTGGCAGCCGAGAACGCTCTCGGTCTCACCTTGACAGAAATCAAACCCCCGGAGCGTGCGTCTGCCTGGTGAGTTTACCCGTAACTCAAACGTGGTCCCTCAATATCTGCCCGACGACGTTCCAGAAACGTCCCGCTGTTGCCTGTCGCGCTCTTGGCGGTGACACAGTGGCGGAGATGGCTGCAGCAGATGTTTGTTTCGACGCAGGTCGCAAAAGCGGGCAGTAAAGTCTTGGTAGTGACGCATTCCTGTAACTTTACATTTTTTTTTTTTGTCAGCTTTTAAAGGGGTCATGAAACGCTTTTCCAACTTTTTCCTGTTTAGCTTTCTTCTTCAACTCATAAATCATTCTACCAAACAGTTCAAGAAGACGAAAAGAGGGGAGGCCCCTCCTGCTCAGAATCTGGTTTGTGTACCCGGACAGAGCCATTGTCCCCCTAGAAGATTACCCCGTCGCTCAAATTTCAGACAAAAGTTGCTTTCCCCACCCCGTTCACCCCGAAGCGGACAGTGCTGTGGAAGCTACGTGCTCGTTGGGCCAGCCACACTTGCCACGTGATCACGCTCCTTCGCGCATACCCACGCGCAGAGAATGAGATCAAGTGATGAAAGGGAGGCGGCTGATTGGTCCGGCAAGCGCGTAGCTTCCACCACAATGTCAGCTTAGGGGGGAAGAGACTAAGTGAGGTCCGGTTTCGTGTGACGTACGTTTGGACCCCATGACGCGCTTTTGGGTCCGCGATGTGTCACAGTGAAAAGGCAGAGAGCTTACGAAGTGGAGGAGGTACGAAATAGTCCGCTGTGTTTTCAAATTATCGCACTGAAAGTCAGGCTTTTGACTTTCTACCTTTTTTCTTTTGGCCCACTGAACGATATGCGATTAGTAAAATCCCAATCTAAAATGATTTATCCCAACCCAAAATTCATTTCATGGGCCTTTTAAGTGTAACCTGGTGCTTTTTTGAACTGTAACTTGTAACGACGAGGGCAACAGCATTATTTTTGTCTTTGCCTTTCACACATTCTTTGCATTAAGACGTCATTGAACGGGTACAAGCTAGCCGTTCCTCACGTTACTTTTTAAAAAATACCTTGCCCAAGACTGTTGAGATGGGACGCAGTGACGACGGCGACCCTTGGATCCGCTCGCATTATTCGCCGGCATTTCTGCGACCAGCTGCCAGGATCGCGACAGCGTGGCACGTTGCCTGGATGGGACTGTAAACAGAACAGTCGGAGATGCATTCCAGGCACCATACCATTTAATGATGCACGGCGCCTCTAATTTGGGGGGCCATTTCGACCAAAGACATGCCTTTGGATAACCAACATCGGGCGCAAACTAGTTGAAACTTGGAGCAGCCCCCGACACAACCATTATTGGCATGGCTTTGCAACGGATTGGGTGTGCGCGAGGTGTGGCCCGCTAGGCGTAGCGGGAGGTCCCTGTGTTGCGCAGCGTATTTCCCGTCAGATTTGGCGGAGAAACTTTCCCTGGTGAAATCGACGGGGAAACTGCGACGTCATGCGAGGCGTTTCCCCACAGGGTCTAATGAGTGAATAGCGACGTCACGCAAAGAGTTTCCCCGCCAGGTTTGGCGGGGGAATCGTGACGATGCAGTCTTTTCACCTTTGCCGAATTCACGGTGCTAGTGTGTAGTTTGTGCGCAGCAGAGTGCGACTTTGTAGTCAACGACCGGGCGAGAACGGCAAGACGTCTCTTTTGAGCGCCTGGCCTCCACCAGACGCTCGTCGTCTTTTGCGGCGCTTTGGCTGCACCTGCACATGCGAGGCTTACCAAATATTGAGGTGCTATCAAAGCCAGGGATCTCGCACCGGAGTCCTGACAGCCGAAAGGCCTCCTTGGCATTCTCATTTTCTTTTGCAACAGTAGTGCAGCCGTCATGGCGCGGCATCCAATGACGGTGAACGCGGTACCGGTTGGTTCTCAGGTGACGCCTCCACTGGACGTGGAGCGGATATCGGACGTGCTGAAGCAGAAGCGGGTGAGCCCGTCGAACCTCAAGTTCGGCTTCCTGGGCCTGGGCAACATGGGGCAGGGCATGGTGAAGAACCTCATCAACTCGGGCCACCACATCACCGTCTGGAACAGGACGCCCTCAAAGGTCAGGACGGCTCACTTTCTTTTTTTAATGCAATGCACGTTTATGCTCTTAATCTTAGGAAGTGTAATGTTTGTCTGTTACACATACTTTAAACTTAAGTGAAGTTATATGACAGCCGCATGGCTGTTGTTTGATCTACGATGAACCTGAGCCGTACGTGTGCGTCCATCGTAGTGCTAACGTCAAACTGTCTCGCGCATTGGGTGGTCTGTGCATGTGCTCTTGTTCACAGTAGCTGTCCGAGCAAGCGGCGCACCGTTTTTAGGCAATGGCGGGCATAGCATCGTGTGTACAAGCCATTGCATCCACCCTCGCTTGTTTGTGAACTCCTCCGTGAGAGTGCATATAAACGAGCGTTAGGAAGTTTTAGAATGGCATGCCCATAAACTTTGCATATCCAAAGAAATAGCATAATCGCCAGTGCACGCGTGCCGAACTCAAGCGGCGTCTTGAGTTTTTGGCACGCGCAATATATTTGCGAAGATTGCATGTATACCCAAACTCGCCCCAAAGCCTCTGCGTTGCTCTCGCAAGGCGGAAGAAGTTGGCTAAAGCCAAGAAAAGCCAAATTCGAAAATGGCGGCTCCTAGGGCTGCGGCCGCCATGAGCGCGACATCAGCGCCATCTTTGCAAGTGTGATTTTTTATACGGGACGACACTGCACTTCTGCGGAAGGTGCATGTCACAAACGGTTTGGAAGACCTAGCTAGGTGGGCAACGATGGCCAAAAACTTGCTGCTTGCAACAAGCAAATACTTCTCAGCAAAGGTCAGTGCACCAGGCCAGTGATGCGCCAAATGCTTCATTTTGCGCGAGGGGCAATTTCCTGTGCCATCCTGATAAACATCCACCATATTGCACCAAATTGTGTGGCTGGCCGAATTAGGCGACGACTTGCGCCACCTATCAGCCGCATGCAACGTGAGCCACGGTGAAGGGGACACCTAGCGGCTGTGCTGTCAACCGGGGCAGGTGCTTCTTTTTTAGGCAAACGCAAGCCGTTCCGAGCACATGACAAAGCTGGCAGGCTTGAAGGGGCACTCGCGTGGATTCTGAGATTGTCTATTTATTGTCATAACTCAATCTATGGGCTCTAAGCATTCTAAAAAACCCAAATTCACATTAAGCTCGGCCGATTTCCCTATTAAAAATCCAATCAAAGATCGTACCACGCCCTCCTTTATGTGTCGTGGCACAGAACATTGGGGTGCACCTCTGGATGGGAAGGCAGCTGGGAGAGTATGCGACAGCCAATCACAAATGACGGCTTCCCAGTAAACTAAATTTTCGAATATGTGCGTTTTCTAGAAATCAGTTCGCCAGGAAGCCGTCACTTGTGATTGGCTGTTGCCTGCCCTCCCCTGTAGCCTTCTCATCCAGTGATGCCCCCTGGTGTTCTGTGCCTGCACCACAACACAGAAAGAGGGACGAAGCACGATCTTTGATCGTGCTTCGCCCCTCTTTCTAAAGTAGATGATGACTTCAGAATCCACTTGAGTGCTTCTTTAATGGGTTCTTTCTGTTCAAAATAAACAATGCACAGAAAGTTGCATCAACAGTTGTGTCAAGTTTTTTTATATGAGAAATATCTGTTTAGTAATCCCTCTGGTTGAATTTCTATGAAAGATAGGGATTTCATAGTGAAGCCCTCTGGAGACCCACATTACAAAATGGCATTACTGTATACAGAAAAGAAAAAACAAAACTTAGTAGGAGATTTTTTAACTTAAAAATTCTCTGAACAAATTAGGTGATCATAAGATTTCATAACTGCATGCTCAAAAGTACTTTGCAAAGTGATATTTAGGTGCTCAAGAGGGCTCCAAATTTCATGCTTATATGCTCCAAAGCACTCCAGAAGCCATTTTTAAGTGCTCAAAAGTGCTACAGAATTTGCTGTAAAGTGCTACAGAATTTGTTTTTGAGGTGCTCCAAAAATTGCTCCAAATCACAATTTTTTAGTAGCATCAGTGCACTAGGCCGCTCTTTGTGAGGCAAGGCAAGCGGACACTACCAGTTGACCGCTTCATCATGTTCTCAAATTTAAGAAAATCCAAAATATTACTCGAGCCTAATACATTTCTTTAAAGCGATAGCTCTACGTGTGATACTTTGCAGGGATTTTGGTGTTAGCGCTTGTTGTCTCTCTTCGGAGCAGGTGTTTCCACTGCCCGCACCGCGCGAAGAGGGCAGAGCCCCGATGACCTGCCAATAACGATGTGATGACTAGGGAGCGTCAATAGAGCCTCTTCCCTTGTCGTGTGCTGACGATAAATTCAGAACAAGTGTTTTCAAAGATGACTCGCGTTACATCAAATCCCACTTTGCAGCACCCATGTTGGAGGTGTTTGAGAACTTCGACCGCGTTCAATTTTATTTTAACATCTCTACTTCTTGAACCCAACTCGAAATGTAAAATACTCGCATGTTCTGGCTTAAACTCGTCGCCTTGCGCCCGGCTTTCCCGCAGAGCTTCGCCTCGTTTATCTGCATGCGTCCCCCTCTCCGCTCATCACTAAACGTCGACATTACCCCCTCCCTTTGCCGCTCAACATCACTGGGAAAACCCGCGTCTTCACTTGCTTCATCAGCGCCGCAGAGTCTTTCTAATGGCACCGGCGCTCCAAGGCCGTGCTCTGTCTAAGGAGCAAGCGCTTCCGCGGTTCGCAGCCGGCGTCAGAGGCTCATCACAGCTCACCACATGGTCGCAGTTTTAGTGCATTGCAACACGTTACCAATCTGCACCATTGTTACTAATAGTTTGTTTTAGCATGGCGTAAATGCAGGATACCTTTCAGTGCGCCATTGCAACCGGCATCTCGTGCTGCACCTTTGAAGCAAGATTTCCAGCACGAGACAGGAGCGTTGCCGTGCCCACTGTATCCTGTGGTAACGCTATGCTAAAACTGCATTATTAATGCTATCGGTGTAATTGGTGTTTTTATTTATTGCTCTATAGAAGAAGATATTCTAATATACTGTACTAGCTGCGAAATGTTTTGGTGGCACCCTTCTATTGTTCCCTCTTGTGACGTCATGACCTTGTGAACAACAAGTTTGGTGGTGTTTGTAATGAGCAGTGTGGAAGCTTGAAATCATTGTGCTCTGAAACCAACACTGCCAACACCGTCAAAATTGAAGTTCTTCGTTACTCTTAGTTCCGTCGATGAGAAATCCTTTGCTGACAGCACTCTGCCAATAGAACTGTTGCAAAACGTGTAGCACTACTCCAGCAGGGAATTTTGGGAACCCTCGGTACACATCACGCGCTTTCTCGTTGTGCCTCCGCGACTGCGTGCGCGTCCCGGCAGCTACCGCCAGCAGCCGTTGCAGCCGCCATTCCTCCCATCCATCGAGTCGTACGTCGTTGGCACCGTACCGCATCTGTGGCAGCGTAACGGCATCGCGACAGGTGAACTTGTTTAAATATGTTACCCGTCGTAACTTACCTTCACGTATTGAAGTGTCGCCAAATCCATTTAGTTTGCACTGCAACCATGGCAGGTTTTGATCAGGTTCGACAAAGCATTGGTGCAGCAGACGACAGAGCCGGTACAAAGGAGAGGGATGAGAAAGGGGCAGCCGTTGGCTCGTCGCTCGCCCAACTCGGCTGCTCGATGGTTGTTGCTGTGGTAACCTGCGCTTGCTCTCGTATGCCACGTGGTAGCGGGAGGAGAGGCGTACCGAGGACTCCCATTATTCGTCGCGCGCGGGCTTTCGAGATCTTTGCAAAGGGTCTATTGTGGAAGGCCGACCACAGCGACGGTTTCGATCGTGCACGTCGCCAATACCAGCACCTGTGCACCGTGTTATTCGCAGTGTCGCAACCTGCCTCACCAAAACTGTCTGTTGTAAGCACTCGTCAACAAACTGCTGACTTACGCAGTTGCGCTTAACAATGCTACAAGCATTTTTTACTTGCCTTTATAATTACCCAAAGGCAAGTGTGCATAGTCCGTTTTCTTCTTAAAGTGCTTGGAGCAAACTTATTCCTAGTGTCAATCGCTCGACACACAGTTGAGCGAGCAGCTTTCTTCACTTTTGGGAAAGAATAGACTTTTCATAGATCGCACGCAAGAGGTTTGCGCTGGTAGCAGAAGCTTTTGTCGTCACATTGAGCACAAATTGAGCTGGCGACCGTAGGACCCGAAATTCACAGCATGCATGGCCAACATTCCGTGGAATAAAGAGTTCTCACGGAAATATCAAAATTTGAATTAATTTTCGTTCTATGATACCCAGACATATATATCCTTTGGAAACATTCCAATCTTTTTACAAGAGATGCCAAAATTGACAATTTCGTAAATGTGACCTCCAAAATTCAATGAAAAAAAAATTCTTTGTAGTGGAATAAGTATTTTACATGCATTCAAGAGTTTCATTACTGCTTATTGATATCCTATGACTGTCATCTAAAATATTTTCGGGGAACATTGCGTTCTTCAGTTGAAATTCTCAGTTTAGTTGGTGTCCAAGAAAGTTGGGAATGCAATCTACGAAAAGTCTCGAATTGAATTAGGCATTCCTGTCTCTTCGTGCAACGCTGTTACAAAGCGGAACACAACCATTCTTATTTTAATGCAGTCGGTTGTTTTAGTTAAAACTTCATGATGCACGAACATGCCGTCCAGAGCCATTCGGTAACAGGAGCACAAAGGCCGGCAGTCCCTGCCACGTTCGTCCGCGAAAGGACAAGTGGCAGGCTGGAGTTGCAAATAGCGCGTGCGGTAAAGTTTGTTACATGGTGGCTTTGAATGTACGAGATGCCATGAATTTGGCGTTGCGGCAGAACGCCATTCAAAACTCTTGCGTAGTCTGCGCCGACGTTGGCACTGAGAAGTGCTAAAATTGGGTATACTCTTCTACTGCCTTGCAAAATATGCAGTGTCAGTGATGGTTCTAATTCTGACACCATGGTTGCAGTGTGTAGTTAGTGAATATTGACTACATTCTAAGGTCATTTTGAATTCTGCAAAACATCGAGAACAAGTGGAACTTGCATTGGATCGTGCTTTTTATCCCGCTGTCTGTGTTTCATCCGATGTGGAAGATTTGCAACAAGATATTGCGTTTGTCTCAAACAGCTTGCGCCAGAACTTAATTTTGACACTCAAATCTTTTCTTTTTTTTCTGCCAGTTTTTGAAATGGTCAGGCTTGCATCTTTGTTCCTTGTAATTGCCGAGAAATGGCATCCCAGCTCGCACTCCTCTGCTCTTACAGAACCATACACAGTGGCTCCGAGACCTAGTGTCACTGTCGGTCAGCATGGCGGGCAAAATAGGTAAAATTGCTAATTTCGCCCCACAACCCAGAAATTCAAATTCAATATTTTTACGTGAAATTTGTTACTTTTTTTTTTTTTACGGATGCAATAAACTGATTTTTTACTTTCAACTGCTATTTCCGTGTTGCCATTATCTTTTGTGGTCCACCTCTCGGGATGACGCATTCGACTTCATAGTTAAAAACTCATTGGCTCTTGCTGCAAGTGGATTCGCATTGCGAAATGGCGTGTGGCCGTATTGAAAAAATCCCAAATCCTAAAAAGAGGATCAAAACAAAATCGTCCTTTTCGTTTCCCTTGTCTCGGGGTTTTCCGAGTATGATTGTGCACCAGCTTGGAAACCAAAGCAAGGGAATAAAAGGCTAGTACTTTGTTTTGCTCATTGTGTTGAAATCTAGAATTCGAAGATGTAAAAATAGGCGCAGGGTAGACGACAGCGTAAGCAAGGAGCAAGCATCGTCCGCTGTTGGCCCTCATACTTCTGGGACATTGTGTCACATCACCGATTGCTGTTCACTCACCGACTGCTGTTCATTTGGCACGTGCGGAAGTGTAGTGGCGACATCACTCCGTTGTGGGCTATGTGGCCAAGGGAGAGTGTGCGCTCTCATTGGGAGATTATTTAGACATTAACAAAGCCTGGCTTTTGTTAGAAATAGCAATGATACTTGTTGTGGTCAAGTCTATCTGCACGTCCCAGCATCACTTTAGCAGAGTTGGAAAAAGTTGTGATTGCCCTGCCAGGTTAAAAAAATCAGGTGTATGATGCAGTCCCGATTTGTTTTAACACGTGATGCGTTTTGGGTCTGGTTTCAAAACCCAGAGCGGCTCAAAATGTTGCAACGAATGTCTGATAACATGGCCGGCTGTTACCACAGAAGACTGCATCGCCCAGCAGGAATCGAACCACTGACCTCTTTCCGCGATTCAATGAAAGCCTTTTGAAAGGAATGAAAAGGTTCGAGTGAGCAAGGGAATGAAAAGGTTCTGCGAGCCTTGTATGCCGTGTTCTGTTAGCAGGTATCTAATCGGGTTGTTTGGTGTCATCAAACCGCATGATATTCTCTTATCTAAATGACACCCAGCAACTTTTTTTTTTATAAGTGTTGTCTTGGTGGGTTGCTATGCTTACTCTCCCAAAGCTTCTATCATCTTTCTCTCAGTTCTTCCTAGCCGCATTTTTGTTGGTCCACGTCAGTTGTTTTGGATCACTAATGAATGCAAGTATGAATCACACACTTCCTTTTTAACTAAAAATAGGCACAGGGTTTTATTTCGGTTGAAAACAACGACGAAAGAAAACAACCCTGAAAACACCCCCAATGTCTGGAACCAGAATTAATCAAAATGTAGGTAGCACTCTTAAATTGGGAGAAAAAAAAAAAAAAAATAAAGATAACAGGTCCATGAAACGAATGAAGTATATTACTATGGCCTAGGCAGAAATGGCAAAGGACCTTGCTCGAGTAGTATGTCGGGGGAGCAGACGTGTTAAGTGATGTTCATTGGTGCCCTAAGTGAAATGGATGCCTCAGCTACCGTGACGACAGTTGCACGTCGTCTGGCAATTCCCGAAGCTCGCCAAATCTGAGCGCAATGGAACGAAGAACACCAAGGGAGCGGAGTACGCCTGCCTAAGAAAGTGTGCGAACACAAGCGCATCCCCCTCCTATCACAGAAAAATCGGTTCGACTAATCTACTCGCCACTGTCTAAGACTAGACCGAAGAGAAGAGCCGCAGTTGCCCAAATTCCTCGGTCACGCGCAAGCATGCCATGTGGAAGATACGTGGCTTACACCACCTTTGCATTGCCGGTCAGTGGACCTCAACGATATGTAGGCGTTAATCCGAAAAAACGCCCCGGTACGAAAATAAGCGGCTACCCAAACCTCTCCGCCATTTGAGACGAATGAGTCTAGGTTAGGCCTTTTTCCAGACAAGCCTGTTTCCCTTGCCCCCCCACCCCCTTAATCGAAACCACAGTCATTTCCACTTGCATTCGGATGAAGCTAGCCGCAGCACGACTCGCGCCAAATCAGCTTCGTCTGCCCGGGCTGTTCACATTGAGCCTCGGTTGTGGGAGTCTTCCGGAAACCCGAGAAATGTCTGGTTTAAGACCAGAATGAATCCGCACCATGCCAGAAACGGGCCATGCTAAACTAAGTGGTCGCATTCTTCTCTCGTTTCAAGTAAGTTCGATCCAGGCACACTGTCAGACGGCCGTTTCGTGGGAAATGTCCTCGGCGGCATCTGCTTCCGCCGTGGCCTCATAGTGATGGACTGTCACTTCCAGGGGCACCGTCTTGTGGTTGCCGTTCTCTCCAGAGGTAGAAGGTGCGTCACCCACGCTGGCGGCGTCCACTTTGATCGACGATGGATTGTTAGCGCTCGAAGAGGGCACGTCTTCCATCGAAACAAAGAGGCGTGACCGTGCCTCGAGGTCGTCATTGAAGCAGGTGTCTTCGAAGGGAAAGTGGGGCTGGAGAACCACCTCGTCGGGAGAGACTTCCGAGAGGCTGTCCGGGGTGTAGTAGGCAGACAGCTGGCTCTCAGTATCCAGTTGGTCCAAGAACAGCGGGAGCGGAAGGATGTCGAGCGGCGGTGGCGGCGGCATGAGGCCCAGCTCGGCGGGGTCGAAGATGATGGAGTCGGTGCGGGCGCAGACGCTGCGGCAGCTCTCGAGGTTGAGATTCTCCAGGATCTTGTTGAGGTGTTGCTGCTGGAGCTTGTAATTCTCGCGCAGCTTGTACAGGTGGGTCGTGCTGAACTTGCGGATGCGATTGCGCTGGAACACATAGTTCTCCCGCAGCCGGTCGATCTGGGACACGCCATAGTCCCGAACGCGCTGGACCTGCGATGCAGAAATTACTTCAATGAGACTAGCTCAGCTCTGCAACAGCTTGCAGGCCTGTGAGGACCTTCAAGGGTAATGATGATCATCATCATCATCAAATCTGTGAAAATTTTTAACATTAAGTGAATGAAAGCTGCAAGGAGTACATACCTGCATATAGTAGTTGTCCCTGATGCGGTCGATCTGTGCCGTGCCATAGTCGCAGAAGTCGCGGAGCCGCTCGGTCTGCCCAGAGTAGCTGTCTCTGAGCTTCTCCATCTGCAGGACACAGTTGTCCTTGATGCGTTGCACCTGACCCGCGTAGTTGTCCCGGAGACGTTCGAGCTGCTGGCAGCGGTACTGCTCGAGGCTTTCGAGCATGCGGTACAGCTGCTTCGCCCTCGGCGAGTTGGCGCCCACATCACACGGGCAGGTCAGCCCGAACCGCCGCAAAATGGCGCTCACCAGGATCCCAATCAGAGTGGCCAGCACAAAGGCCAGGGCAGTGGCACACCCCACTAGGACGCTCACAATCTTGACACGAATGAGGAAGTCGTAGTCAAGGGTCAGGTGGATGGCAACCGTGTGACGACCCAGGACGTTTGTGGCCCGGCAGCGGTAGTAGCCGCTGTCACCGCGCTGCACTTCGCGAATGAAGAGCTTCCCGTTTTCGAGCAGGACAAACTTTGGGGTGTCATTGCGGCCGACGGGACCGTTAATCGAAGAGTTGCCCACGGAAGCTCCGTACTCCCTGGTCCAGTTGAAGACGAGGCGATGCGGAGTCACCCAGGTGATGGATGGTTCAGGGCTACCCTCGACGTCGCAGTAGAGTAGGGCAGACGACCCGAGACGGTAGTGGGCCTGATTTGTGTGTTGCACGACTGTGGCATTGGTGCAAGTCATGTGCTTGTCGACGGCGTCGAGCACGGTATGGCCAGACAGCCTGAGCGGCTTGGCACAGAGAGTGGCAGACGGAGACAGGAGGTGGGCCGGTACGTGATCTAGCCAGAGGAGGAGCCAGTGGAGCCGGCAGTCGCAGAACCACGGGTTCCCATGCAGCTGGATCCGTTGCAACTGTACCAGCGGGAGGAACAGTCCGGCAGGAAGCGTGGTGAAGTTGTTGAAGCGTATGTCCAGCTTCCGTAGACTTCCCAAGGACTGCAGACTACCGGGGTCGACGGTTTCTAGTGATCGGCAGTTGGTCATGAGGAGTTCTTCTAGGGAGTCAAGTCCCTCGAAGGATTCCTTGGTTAGGCGGGAGAGAGCTCGTAGATGGGACGCATAGAGCCGGCGGAGCTTGTGCGTGTGTTTGAAGACCAGCTGTAGGCTTCGAATGGGGTTGTAGCTGATGTCCAGCACCTCCAAAGTGGGTCGGAGCGTCCCACTCTGTATCATCGCTATCTGGTTGTGGCTGATGTTAAGTGTGCGGAGAGAGTCCAGGCCCTTCAGGCTTAGGAGCCCCACGGACGTTATCCAGTTACGGTCTGCACGGAGGTGGACCAGCTTGTGCAAGGACCAGAAGACCACATTGTTGAGCTCGTGAATGCGGTTGCGTGACAAGTCCAGCATGGTGAGATTGGTCAAGTCTTGGAACCATTCGTGCTTGAGTCCTTCCAGCTGGTTTCCAGAGAGGTTCAACGAAACGAGGGCTTCGAGACCGTCGAAGCCATTCAAATTAATATCATTTAAGTGGTTGTCACTGATGTCTAGGGCCTCGAGGGTCCGTAGAGAGTAAAAACTATGGAAGCCTAGTTCTAGAAGCTGGTTCTGGTGGAGGTTGAGACTTTTTAAACTGCACGAGTTGTTGCACAGCCCGGACCAGGCGTTGTCGTCGAGGCTATCTATCTTGTTGAAGGAGAGGTCCAGCAAAGTCACTCTAGGGTCGAGGTCAAACGGCACAACCTTGAGGACCTGTCTGGAGCAGGCAGCCTCGACGGCTCCTTGATCTTTGTGGCGGCAGGTGCACGCAGCGGGGCAGTTTGAGGAGACGTCGTCATCCTGGAGACTAGCATGGACGTGGGTTACACTGGTGTCTATGGAAGCCAATCCGTGAGGAAGTCCCGCCAGCAGGACTGCCGCCACGGTAGCGTACGTGACTAGTAGTAAGACACCCCTAGCCGGACACTCTTGTTGCATCGTAGCTTAACTTCAATTGCTGCCGGAGTCCTGCGAAGGGAAGGGAGAGAAAGAGGAACAGGAGTATAAAGTCATTGTTCGCGTGCTGCGGCGGCCTCAATTGAGCCGTTTATCGCGCCGTCCTTTTATCGCAAAAGCCGAGTCTATTTGGGCTCGTCCGGACATATAGACGGCTTTCCTTTTTGCTTTTATGCTGCACGCACTATCCCCACCAATTACTTCCAAGGGTCAGATAAGGAGGATCAATCTCGATCCGAACCACCTGCGTCGGTGAAACGTGGTAGTTTGCTCGAGCAGCGCGCGTTGCTCGTGATCCTCTCCCAGGAAACCGACACCGTACCGCGAAGGAAGGAACTCCTGAATATGCGTCGCGATCCCTTTTGCGCCGAACTGAAGGTCTTCGGATGCTCCTGCCGTGTTTCCCCGAAGCCCCATATTCGTCCGACTCTCGTTTCGGCATTTCCGTGTTTTGTTTTGGCTCTTTTTGTTCTTTGTTTTCGAAGACTGACTGCCGCCGCGGTGCGGAGATGCGGCCGATCGAATAGCAACAGTACGGAGTCGAACTAGGCCTAACCAAAACTTCGCTTCGCTCGCTAGGCAGGAGCGAAGATTGGGACAAGAACGGGTGGAAGGTGTGTTTGGATCGCCTCGGCCGTTTTTGTTGTTCGTTTAATGCGGAATTGGGGGCATTCGGTCGGAATCGCGCGCGCGCGCGATGGGGGGGGGGGGGTCAGCGCTCTTGCACCAACACGGGTTTGCGCAACGATCCCTAGAAAGGGGTAGCTTTGCAGCCGTTGCCACTCACCCTAGCGCGGTTGTCGGACTGGCGCCGTTCGCTTTAGCCTGGGCCGCTTGCCTCGCACCGTGGTTCGACCGCGGTTCATTGTGAACTCGGGCTGGTGGGACAGTCGCTAGCGAGCATTTCGGACGCGAGCTTCCTCCGGCACGTCGAGACGAGCGGCAGCTCAAAGAGCGCCAACATGTCCGCTGCCTCGGCGATCGGCGTTGTGGAGCGTGGAAAGGAGGAAACCAGGCGCCGTGCTGCTTTGGGGCTTCGGCGTGGCGAGAGGGCAGAGCGAGCGCGAGAGCGGCTCTTTGGGAAGCGCTCTCGCTTTTTTCTCCTTCGCTTTCCTCCTTACTTTTTCTCTCTTTCCTTTCGGAGTTGCGTTCGGTGACGGTGGCGGCACGGCGGGTTTCTTCGATCCGTGACGTCATGACGGAAAGGAAATGTGCTGCTTGACGGGCAAAATGAACACGTTAGCACCTGGGGTGTGTTCGATTTGCAGAGAAGCGTGTCGCTTTTGATATCTGCGGCGCGTGTTCCGCCAAAACCGGTTTAATCGGAACGTACAGTACATGCGTTGAAAGACGGGAAAATACTCCTTTCTTATTTTTTTTTTTTTATATTAGCTTTGCCCGCTGCGCGGCAAACTTCTTTTATTATTTTTTTCTTGTGTGTGGGTTTTGTGTGACGGGAAAAAACGTCGTTTTATAAAGCCAAACTGTTTTTTTTTACTATTTGCAAGTTACTTATTTTTTTTTTTTTTTTACATGTCTATATTTCGGTTGTGAGGGAGGAGCATACGACCGCCTCGACTTATCTGGGCGTATCAGTGATGAAGCGGCCCGTAGTTGAATACAAAACCGTAGCTTTATTCTAGATTGCGACACAAGAGAGTGACCGACCCGATCCGGGGGGCGAATAAGTGCATCAAGGAAAGTGGAACTTTATTGATCACTCAAACTAAACATCACTTCTTCTTTTTTTTTTTTTTTTTTGCGTATGTATTGTAGCGGTTGCGCTAGGTGTTGGTTTTCGTGATCGAGGCAGCGGTCGTCCTTTTGTGATGCGCTACTCTAGGAGACTGCGTCTTAAATAAACAATGACAGCCCCCCCCCCCCCCCCCCCCTTTTCTTTTATGCGATTTTATAGGGGGGTCAGGACACTACCCGATCAATATTCTGCTAATGTCACGTGTATTTTTAATAAAGTCATAAAACGCACCTGCTCGAAACCGAAACTGGAGGAGAAAGATGCCAAAAGTCACGTAATTGTGCTTTTTTTTTTTTTTTTTTTTTAGTTAACGTGTTTGCAGCTTTTTAGAAGCCACAAATATATATATATCATATTTTTTGTCTATTTCTAGTATTGAGTGCGTGCCTTCGATGACCCACGACTTTGATTATCTTTGGTGGTTGTATGCAAACCATAGAAAACGGCATGTGTCCACGGAGAAGAGAGTGAGTGTGACTCAAATCGGCCAGTTGGTCGATCGGCGGTTTTTGGGCGGAAACAAAATTAATTTCGAGCCGCAAATCGTGTTTTGGGTAGATGGGCTTTCGTATGTCATGTACACATAAAAACCTCGGCGAGCATTAATACCGTGTCAGTGTCCCTTTACGCGTTCAAAACTTTTTTTTTTTTTTTTTTTTTTTGTAGCGCCGAGGCATTAAAGGGGTACTCCACCGATTTTTTGAGCTACCTCAACTAACTATAATTTTTGACTCCCCGGCCTTTAGCCTTTCCGGTATGCTATTCAGCATCGCGAAATTCATAATAGTTTTTGTGAAATCGGCAAATGAAAATGGTGCAAAAACCAATATTCAAATATTCGCGCACTTTTCAGTGCCGTGACGTCAGTGGCAGGCTGGCTTGCCAGTCGAGCAAGTAGTCTAAAAATAGAATATGCCAATCATTTGTTCCGTGCTGGAGCGCGGATACGGGAGCGAGCTTCCAAAGCACTCATTTGACACCAAGAAACTGCTTCAAATCCGTTGGGAACAACTTCTGTAGTCCAAAAGGTTAACCCCTGCCTTCCACTGACGTCATTTTGTTGTTGTTGCCAGTAGAGACTTTCAGTTTGAAAAACATGGTGAAGACCAAAACTGTAAATTCAATAACTTCGCGAAAAAACAATACTTTGACCTAATATTTGGGATACTATTTTAGCAATGTTTGTTGGTTAGTTTAGCAAAATTTCAAGCAAATCGGAGACAATGAAAAAACCGGTGGAGTACCCCTTTAAGCGCAGACCGCATGGCGCTTTTTTCTGCACGCGAAAACGCGACGCGCTATGAACGCTCGCGCGGAAGTTCACGTGGGTGCACCCGCATGCAGACGAAGCCAAGCACCGCCGGCCGCGCGTTACCAGCGTTGCCAGATAACAGAATTCTCAACACGCGATGTAAATGTTGACGAAAATACTACAAAATGAGAATTAAATGAACAAATAAGTAAATAAAACGGGTTTGTGTGTTAAAAGAAACACCTTTTCAATTTTTATATGGAAAATAAAAATGCTTTTGAAAACTTTGAAATGTGCTGAATACGAAACAGCGTACTGTGCTGGATCACGTGATAGTTCGACCGACCCTCATTGGGCGAGAGCCGCTTCGACGCCTCGGCCGGCGCTTCTTGTTTTGAGACTTTGTGTTTGTCCGTCCCTTTTTGTCCCAGTCTCGGGGTTTTTGTCGAAATGTTTAACCACCACCAGCTCGTTTGCGCCCTTACCTTTTGTTCTGGGTCGGCCAGAAACCAACGCTCCCGCGAAAACGCGCGCCCGCGCGCAGGAAATGACGTCAGTTTGACGCCAACGCGCCTGAATCGCGAGCAAAAACGCGCCATGCGGTCTACGCTTTACACGTATGAAGAAAAAAGAAATTGCACATCACAACAAAACACAAAAAAACTTAAACAAATAAGCGTGGATATTAAAAACCACACATTATCAGCACGCAAAAAAAAAAAAGAAAAAGAAAACCAAATATGTACAGGTCTGAAACGAAAAACATTGAAATCACAAATACCCACATCATCAGCATGCAACAGCCGAGGGACTAAAGTCACAGGGCATTGATCATTCTAGGGAACGAATCAGTGTCAGGTGATACGATATCTGCTGGCAGGTCATTCCACTCGGATGTAGTGTATGTAGCGCTTAGTATGCTTAGGGAACATGCACAAGGGGAACTATTTTATTATTATTATTAGGCTATTGGAATGGAATATTTTTTTTAAAGTTTATGGTGCTTAATATTATCTTTATAAATCCGGTGGTCGATTTGATATAGCTTGTTTCTCTTTTAGGTTCTCGATACAATGTACATGCGGAAAAAAGCATGTTCTTGCAAACACGTCAGGCATGGCAGCACACTTCAAAAAGCCTAGGAAAATAAACTCACTCGCTCCTTTTAAATCACTGAGTGCAATGAGCAACAAAACTAAAACGTGCGACGCTTCTTTTTTATTGTGAATTAATTAAAAATATTTAAAAAAATGCAATTTCATTTGGCAAACGAGTGTTCCTTAAATTTTTCATAGATATAAAAATAATACATTCTTTCCAAACCTAGATAGTTGCATTCTACATATCATAAAGTATGCGTTCCATGTTTGGTTGTGATAGAACAGTATAAAGAACTGAAATTCTTGCGCACGAACTCTGAAGATGCCCCGAAATTACGTAAAAAGAAAAACGTGTTGGAATATGTTACCGTAGATGTGTAGCTATACTGTTTCGCGGTGCGAAAAGTAGTAATTTGTTAATAAATTTCTGTGAGAATTAGAAGCTACTGAAGACTTCAATGGAGAGAAGACGGCTAGGCCTACTTGTCAACGCAAATGTGATGGCAGGCGACGTCACCACTTAAAAAATCACGCAGAAAAAAAAAAATTTTTTCGAATTTATGTCGTTCTGGGTTGCGTGGAGGTCTTCAGATGCGTATTGGATTAATTTCGCGATCATAACCGGCACTAATTATTTTTATGCATCAAACTCCCCCCCCCCCCCCCCCCCCCGAAACAAAATCCTGGCTACGTGCCTGCACAGGCATATGGGACTAGCCCCATGCTGTCGCTGTAGCGCACCATATCTAATTGAATTCTGCTCAGCTGCGTTGTGTCCATGGTTATCGCGGCGATAAGACGCGCCGTTCAGAAAATATGTCGGTGGCATCAGCGCACTCAGCTCAGTAAAACCTACCGGCACACCGCCAACTCTATGCCGCTAACGCTCCCATTCTCCTACTGCCGAGAGAACTTCCGGTTCCGATGCCGGCGGATGTCACGACCGTCAAAATTACACCACAGCTTGTTTTGCGGTGAGTTGGAGAGGAAGAAAAAGTCAATATTTCATTAATTTTTGGTGTAGAAGTTAATGAAACGAAAACGAATGCCCGTTCGGCGTTCAGTGAACATCGACAGTTTAATGGAAAAGTTATTTGGCAAAAGTAGAACGGTCATTTCATGATCCCTTTAAAGGATACTGCGGTTCACACGTGTGGGTTGTAGCAGGTGTGGGGACGTAAAAACCAACATTGGCTTTGTTTTAGCATGCCGTATGACGAACACTATATCACGACAGAAGTAATGGAATCTACAAAGTGACGGAAAGGTTTCACTTTCATTTGACAGGGAGTTTCGTTCGTTAATTGCTCGAGAAAAAAAACAAAAAAAACACGAAATACTCGAAAGATCGTGGTTAAGTTTGAGTTGTTTTATCGCCATGGTACAATAGAACCGTTTGTTTAAAGGTCGATATATCGTTCACTCTTGAGGCTGGTTCACACGTGTCGTCAGCTACTTATCGTCTGCCATGAGCAACAGTTAGGACGGTGCGATACAAGGCTGCAGGTGAACGCTCCCGCCGGCACGCGCTTAGCGCGAGGTCAGGGCTACGCTTGTAGCGCTCCGCGGCACATGTGAACGGGCCTTTAACCTCCGAAATTTTATTTACGAAAGCATAGATGCCTTAGACCGGGGCCACACTGCTTACGCATCATACAAAAGACAGTCTACATACAGATTCGAACGATAGTCACCCGCGAGATCCGTGCTTCGAATGCCGCTCGGCAATGAGTTCAAGGGAAAGCTTGCCACGTGGCATTCAAACCACTGATGTTCCGGTGGCTCGTGTTTGCGGGCTGTCTTTTTGTATGCTGTAAGAGCAGTGTGACCCACGGTTTCACTCTATTATCTTCGCTCTTGTCTCTAACGGCCGGACATGAGTTGTCTGAATTCGAACACTTTTCGATAGGGAGTATTCGCTGGCGGCCATATCTGTGTGCGCAGCTTTTGAGCGCGTGCTGAC